AAAAAAAAAAAAAAAAAAAAAAAAAAAGCCAGGCTCATAATATTAAATAGTTGCCTCTCTGGGAAGATCAGCTGTAGTGGAATGAAGAAATTTTGATCTCTTTAATTTAAATTCATCTCCCTAGGTGACTTCTATTCCCATGGCTTCAGCCAACATGTGTGCCTCTCACCTCTACAGCTCTTGTTCAAGTCTCTGCCCTTGCCTCAGGGCCAAACTCATACTGAAAAAAGGGGGGACGTCACAGATATGTAATAGGCAACAAGTTAAACTCCCTGTCCGATACTAAGGGCAACACTGTTCCCTTCTAAACCTGTTGAGAACACCACCATTCAGTCACCCAGGAAGAAAACCTTAGTTAACTACCAACTTCTCCTCAGGTCCTCTTTTAGGGGTGGAGCCAAAATGGCATCAAGTATTATTATTATTTTTAGTATTTTTAAAAATGTTTATTTATTTTGAGAGAGATTGCAGGTAGGGGAGGGGCAGAGAGAGGGAGAGAAAGGGAATCCCAAGAGCAGAGCTCTTGGGGCTCAAACTCACAAACCATGAGATCATGACCCAAGCGGAAGTCAAGAGTGGCACTTAACTGAGCCACCCAGGCACACCAGTATTATTTCTTACATCTCTCATCAGCCCCTTCTTTCTGATCCCCCCTGCCCTGTTTTAAACTGCCTAGGTAATTTTTTAAAAAGCTTCCTGACTTCCCTGCTTGCATTTTTTCTAGCTCCAATGCATCTCTCGTAACAAAATTTTTAAAACAAATCTGATTATCTCACTCTCAGCTTCAAGACCCCTCCCGTCTATAAATAAAGTTCCAACTCGTTATTAAGCCCTTCAGTGACTTCCTCTCTTACCCCACCTATTTCCAGACTTATTTCCCAAGACTCCCATCTCCCTCATGCTTCTCCCAGTCTACCCTGCCTTTCTGTACATACTGTACAGACAATGGACTACTTTGAACATAGCTTATGTGTCCTTACTTTAGTCTTTTTTTCTTCTGCTTCCTCCCCACTCCTCTCCACATCCTTCTCCATTTGCCTAAATCACGTCCATCCTTAAAGAAGCCCTCTGTAATTCCCATAACTAGAATTAGCCTTCCTCTGTGTTCCCATATTTGTGATTTATTCTTCTTACTGTATTTACCCTCACACTGCCATGCAGTTGTTTGATACACACATCCTTCTAAGTATGCTTCTTGAAATGAATAGATGTTAAAATAGAAGCTCTAAGTCCACTTTTTTTTTTTTTTTCAACGTTTATTTATTTTTGGGACAGAGAGAGACAGAGCATGAACGGGGGAGGGGCAGAGAGAGAGGGAGACACAGAATCGGAAACAGGCTCCAGGCTCTGAGCCATCAGCCCAGAGCCTGACGCGGGGCTCGAACTCACGGACCGCGAGATCGTGACCTGGCTGAAGTCGGACGCTTAACCGACTGCGCCACCCAGGCGCCCCTCTAAGTCCACTTAGTAAACACAGGCAATAATGTTGACAAGTCAAATCGCACTTTCATTAATGCTCCAAAAACACTGAAATATACAAAAATTAACACAAAATAGACTATAACCTAAATACTAAGATCTGAAATTACAAAACTCCTAGAAGAAAACACAGGAAGAAAAAAAAATTTTTTTTTAATTTTTTTAAATGTTTATTTTTGAGAGAGAGACAGAGTGTGAGCAGGGGAGGTGCAGAGAGAGGAGACACAGAATCTGAAGCAGGCTCCAGGCTTTGAGCTGTCAGCACAGAGCCCGACGTGGGGCTTGAACTCATGGACTGTGAGATCATGACCTGAGCTGAAGCCAGATGCTCAACCGATTGAGCCACCCAGGCGCCCTGGAAAAAAATTTTTTTTAATGTTCATTTATTTTGAGAGAGAGAGAGAGAGAGAGAGAGAGAGTATGTGTGAGAAAGAGCGAGAGAGAGAGCAAGAGAGAGCATGTGCGAGTGGGGGAGAAGGAGAGAGGGAGAGAATCCAAGCAGGCTCTGTCCACACTGTCAGCGCAGAGTTGGACATGAAGCTTGTTTCACGAACTGTGAGATCATGAACTGAGCCAAAATCAAGAGTCGGGCACTTAACGGACTAAACCACACAGGTGCCCCACCCCCAAATTTCATATTGAATAGGTGATGATTTTTTGGATATGACATCAAAAGCACAGCAAACAGACAAATGAGACTATATCCAACTTAAAAGCTTCTGTGTAGCAAAGGAAACAAGAGAGTCAAAGACAACCACAGAGAAAGTATTTGCAAACAGGGCGCCTGGGTGGCTCAGTCGGTTAAATGTCTGACTTCACTCAGGTCATGATCTCACGGTTTGTGAGTTCGAGCTCATGTCAGGCTCTGTGCTGACAGCTCAGAGCCTGGAGCCTACTTCAGATTCTGTGTCTCCCTCTCTCTGCCCCTTCCCCACTCATGCTCTGTCTCTCTCTGTCTCAAAAATAAACACTAAAAGAAATTTTTTTAGAAAATATTTCCAAACCACATACTGGATAAGGGGTGAATATCTAGAATGTATAAGGAACTCCTACAACTCAATAATAACAACAAAAAAATTAAATACTGGGCAAAAGACACGAACAGACATTTCTCCTGATATACAAATGGCTAACAAGCACATGAAAAGTTGTTCAACATCACTAATCACTAGGGAAATGCAAATCACAACCACACAATACTACCTTACACCCATTAGTATGGCCACTCCAAAAAAATAAGAAACATGTGTTAGCAAAGATGTGGAGACACTGGAACCCTTGCACACTACACTGCTGCTGAAATTGTAAAATAGTGCTGTCAATAATAGCAAACAGTATAGCATTTCCTCAAAAACTTAAAAACAGAACTATCATATGACCTGGTAATCCCATTTTTGAGTATATATCCAAAAGAACTGAAAATAGGATCTCAAAGAGATATTTCTACACTCATGTTCATTGTATCATTATTAGAAATAGCTAAGATACAGGGGCAACAACCTAAATGCCACTTAATGTTCACTTAAAAACTGTTTAAGAAGTCAATTTGTGGTGTTTTTTTTTTTAACCACAATTAAAAAGTCTTCCCCTTGAGGGAGAGAATAGACCTAAATGCAGAAATAACAAACACTTCCATGTTTTCAGGTTATAAAAGATTTTCAGGTAAATGAATGGTTTTTCAGGTAAATAAATGATTCAATGTCATTCAGCAGCAATAATAAAACTTGAAATATTTCTCCCATATTTTACTGCTTTAAATTCTCATAGTTGATTAATGTATGTATGCATATAACCATAGTTAATACAAGCAAAGAGCAATTTAAAAATACTATATGGTAGCTGTAAGAATGAAAGTGACTTTTCCCGTTTTCAAAAGTAACCTTGCACATAAATGTAAAAAACATTTTAAGGCAGAGGTTTCACAGTTTCTTAACACCTCATTTCTAATAACATGCTACCCTAATACCTAAATGGCTAGTGTTATCAAATCTTATCAAATCTTCTGTGTTACCAAATCTTCTGAGCACGTTATAGTGTTCAGAAAAGTCCACTAAATAGAACTGCCAAAAAAAGTACATTATTTAGACATTTAGAAATCATTCTCAACTGATTCTACACATCTCAAAAACTCAAACTGTACCTCAAACAAGAACTAGATACAGAGGAATAAGAACTTGCAAATCTTGCATGCAAACATTCACTAATGTGCTTACACTATGTTCCAGATACTGTTCTAAGTAAGCCTGACTATGTATCATCTGTCCCCATGACAAATTTAATCCTACAATTAATTACTATCATTATTTTTGTCTTAAGAAAAAAACTGAGGTACAGAAAAGTCAAGTAACTTGTACAAAGTTATAATCAGTATAACCCAGTATTCAAAGCAATCTCTCTTAATTGTACTTTTTCCCCACCCTTCAGATATTTATAAAACAGACTCCACCTTCTTCTAGACAAAACACTGCCATCCAGATACAGGAAACATATACAACCATTACAGGAAACTCCAAAAGATTACTTCTAATAACTAGTAATATACTACCCCAAAAAGCTATCTTTTGGATGGACCAATTAATATTTAATGATCAATTCATATTGAAAGAAAGACTCTAATATGGACCTATATATTTAAGTATGTTTTGGGTCTCTATAATCCCTCTCCTACAAAACTCCAAATATTTGACATATTCTCTACTCTCTTGGGTATAATCAAGCAAAAAGGCAAATTCACAAGAAATATTTTAAGTGAAAAAACACCTTAGTATGTAGGTTAAGTCATTACCTCATTGCCATATAAACACCAGTCTTGATAAATGCCAGTTTTTTACCATTTACATTATATATATATATATATATCTCAGGTCAAAAAACACACAACCATACACCATACATGTGACAAATTTATCTAAAAAGAGTACAACTCCCCCCAAGAACACCATCTCTAGATGGTTCCCTTACCAGTTTCCTTTCCTACTGCACTCTCCCTCCCTACGAATTTCCAAATGTTAATGACACTTAGAAAATTCCTTTGTAAAGTAGTATTCTAAAAAGAAAAATCTGAAGTTACTTTTTTAGTACATGAAGCACACAAATTCCAGCTCTACTTTTAGGTCTTGACAAATAATTATAGAAGAAATAATTCAAAATATTACTAAATGAAAGCTGCTAAATTAAACTTTGATTTTTAAAATGACAACATGAAATGCTTCTATCATGAAAACAAGGAATACTAGAGTTTCCAAAGTGATTAAGTACACTTTACTCAATTAGGCACACTTTACTGGCTTGGAACTAACAGGCCAATAAAATTTAAAAGTAAAAATTACAGAAAGAGGAGATGCTGGTTCAACATAAGAAGGGTAACATAACACTAAGAGGCATCCCATAAAGGAACTGCTTACCCTAACATTAAGCTCTGCTTAGTACCACGTATTAATGGGAAGACTGAAGTAATATTATATGAAGAGGCGACAGGTCAATTTGGATGACCAAGAGGGCATTAAAGCACCTTCCAACTATACTGTGATGACCTAAAGGTCAAGACTTACCTGTGTTTTCGCAGGTATGTTTCTAGTGTTTCTAAGAGACAACTAGAGTCAATTAAAACTACTTCATCCCTGCATTCTTGGGACATTAGTTCCCAGACGTCCATCCAACAACCTCTGCAGAAAGAAACAAGTATTAGTGAAAAGGAGGAATATATAAGGGTAAAACATTTAAAAAAAAAGGCAAAGTAAAGGATTGCTTGATTTTACCTGGCTGTTCCCTGGAAAGGTCCATAATGGAAAATGATCCTACACTTGCTGTCCTTCCTGTGGTCTTCACTACTTCTCTTATCTGTACTTAACTTCTCTGAACTGACACTGCTACTGCTCCCTTCACTGTAGTACAGTATAGTACAAAGCTTAGTGACACTGAGATAATCTGAAGGAATAATTTCTATAGTCTAAATTAAAATCAAGAACTCTTTAATACTTATATTATTAGTAGATTAAGTTTGCAAATTTGTATATAATTACATATTAATTTTAACCAAATTAAAATGTCATTTAAACATATGCTCATATCTTTATATATAAATTTTTGCTCAACTATTAAATTTATCTGACACAACTTAACATTTACATTTATCAAGATACATCTCATTATGATACTAAGCATTTTATGAGCAAATCTACTTGGAATGCTTTAAAGTCAACAGGGCTAAAAAATATTACATTTTCACCTATAAAATGGATCAATCTTCCAAAAATTATAAATTCTAACAAGTTTTGATCTACTTAATGTGATTTTATAGCTAACCCATGGCAACAAAACTCTTATCTACCTTCACATTTATAAGTAGCTGGGGGTAAAAAAAAAAATCACAGATTAATCTAATTACAGTAAACAAATTTTTACATATACTAAAATAAAGATAGCACACGAAGATGACCACTTTATACAACTTGTATCAGTAAATACTATACATATAATTTAAAAATTACTAAAAATTTCCCAGACTCTCCTTCCCCCACAGGTTTCAGTATAGCGCTGGTCATGCATTTTGCTTTGTTGCAGACGCGCATTCCAGGAGAAATGTGTGTCTATATTCCATTCAATGACAGTCTTCTTGGTATTTCATGATTCTGAACAACTGGCTCCTGCCTGTTCTGCAGGTGTCACTACAGTCCTAGGAATTCATTACCTTGGATGCCTGAGATGGAAAAACCTCTGAATCTTTACTTAACCTACTCTATATAGCTAAATAGGTATTTCTCAACTCCCTGCCCACCATCTAAGGTCGTATGTACAATGCAGCTCCCTATTCCCTGTCACAAGGGCTCAGGCAAGGTTCAGCAATGTAACTTGAAACAAAAACCTCAACCACTGCTCTGCCTTCCATGTTCCATCCTTCCACTCTTGACTTCCATATTTCCTCTTTTTCTAATTGTGCTTGAGTGACCCATAATCTCCTAAAACTGATTAACCCGCAAACTCAAGTTCTCACAGTTGAGAAAAAGGCTCATGAAATCAGAGGCTGGGGAATGACTATTATATTAGAACATGAAAGCATTAATCTAAAAAATACTTTTAAAAAATGTCACAGCTCAAATCAAAATTTTATCCACAGTCTCTCTCAGCTTAATGTCTTTATATCACTCCTTCCTTTCAAGATGAAGCTTTCTGAGAAAGAAATCTTTGCACTCCTACACTTTCCACTCACAGATTAATCCATTACACCTTAGACTGCATTCACTGTTCTGCCCATTCTGATCTGGATTGTTTTCATTCAACTGCAGATCTGCTCATCAAGATCACCAATTATTACAGTGTTGCTATATCCAATGGACACTTCTGGGTCCCTTGATGACTCAGCAGCACTCAATACAACTGACCAGAGTCCCCCTGAAACACTCTTTTCCTCTGGCTTCCTCCTACCTCTCTGGCTACTCTTTCTCAAGTTTCTTTACTGGCTTCTTTTCTACCAATAAACTAAATTCCTTAGCATTTTTCTCTCTTACTCTACTCTCTCTATAGGTAGATTTTATAAATACCGCTAAGATAATCTTCAGTCATCAGCTACAGGCCTACAAGTGCAGCCTAAACTTTTCCTTTGGATCTCAAACTTACTCCCAGCCAGACAATAACTTGGGGTTACTTGCATGGATACAAGAACATTCTCCGGAAGGCTGAGCTGGATTGTTGCCACTGATTAGGTTATAACCTAATCAACTGTTAACACTTCCCTGGACAAAGTCTAACAGAAAGAGGGGGGGTGGGTAACAATGCAAACATGTAAAATGCAGTCATGGTAGCATACAATGGCGGAACCATCCAAAGTGGAGGAGAGGGAGTCTTGGCTAAGTACATTGTACTCCCTGGCCTGCTATCCATACTTCTGGGAATAACTGAAGCTACCTTAGGAGACAGTGCTCAAGATCAACTCATACTGATTCCATAACTCAGCAAACCACCTTCTAAAACATTTGGCTTCTGATGTAGCAGGGTGATAGCTGAAGGAGAATGTGAGGAAGTTTGTGGAGGTTTGGTTTTTGTTTTAAACCAAACGACAGGAAAACATAGTTGTATGCCAATTTAACAAAAGTGGGTAACTTAATAATAAACTTAATGATAAAGCAAAGTCATTGAGAACAAGAGGAGATGGAATCCAGAGCAAAAGTAGAAGAACTGATCTTTGAAGGAAGGTGGCAATGAGCAGATATGTAAGATATTGATATGTCTATTGACCTTTGGTTCCTCAATGAAAAATATTCATAACAAAAAAACCCAGAAGACAGTCTTTTTATAATACAATACAACTCTGTGGCTTTGGCTAACAAGACATTCAGGTAAAGGTTACTGTCTCATGAGAAAATTAGACTGAATTTTACTTTCAAAAAGTCAGGAAATCTCTATAAAGATACTGGTAAACAAGGTACATAAAATAACAATTTTCTTTAGATAACCACTTTAGGTTGTACAGAGCTTTCCTGAGTTCGGAGAACTCTCACAGAGATATCATGCAGTTGGTGATTCTTGTCAGGATCCTGATTCTAACATATCCACGTAAGAAGACATTTTTAGAGATAGCTGGGAAAATCTAAACTGGGTATTAAGATTATTATAGTTAATTTTGTTAAGTGTTATAATGGCACTGTCATTACCAAAAAAATGTCCATGTGTTTAGAGATGGATGTAGAAATATGTAGGAGTAAAATAGCATGATGCCTGGGACTTATTTTAAAATACTTCTGAAAGAAAAAGATGGATAAATAAAACAAATGTGACAAATCTTGATAACACTACTGAATCTGGGTGAAGATATCTGGGAAGTGGGGGCAGCGGTTCTTAAATAGTCTCTCTACTTTCCTATATGTTTGGCAGTTTTCATAATAAAATTTTTAAAAAATTTGTTTCTGAGTATAGGGGAAAAAAATTCTTAATAGATTATTAACATACCACTACCTGGTCTTTCAGGTCTTTTTATCAGGAAGAAAAATATCTACACAACAATGATATCAACAATACCAACAAGATATTAAAAAACTAATTTTTTTTAAGTAATTCAGAAATATAGTTTTCATACCATCCCATTCACTTCAAAACAAAAGTTACTTCTTAGAAACCTCCTTCAAATTTCATGGCTTTCACTACTCTCAACCTCAAGCAATTTTGTAAGCAGTAAATGTGACAACGTGCTGGGAGATGGGGGCAAAAGCAGCCCTGGGCATTGTAGAAAAGAAGAAAACTGCAAATTGCATAAATACATATGATTACAACTAATCCAAGGCTTTTTTTTAATCCTTGATAAATTATTAGGGAGACCTAGAGATAAGAAAGACAAGAAAAATAATTTACACATTATGACTATCATATAGATCAAAAAATGATATATCACTACTTTGAAAAAAGTATTAACTAAATAAATTTCCATAAAGATCTCCAACCTCCTTCCTCTGTAATATATTTAACAGAAGGAAAAAAAAAAACTTCAAAAGAAAAAAATCAGACCTATATTGAGACCCTACCCTACACAGTCTCAATGCAAAAAGGCTGTATAGAATTAGAAGACAGATTTATTTTAACCTATGTTATAGTGTAACTAATAAACTAGTTGAATATTTTTTCTTTCTATTAAATGCGATCAACATTTACAATCTTAACAATCACAAAGCATCTTAATAGTTGATTCTACTTACCCCAAAGGTTTTGGTTTGTGTGTATCTAAGGAGTGCAACTGACATCTCTTGTTCTTTTTACTTTTTGGAATAGCATCTATCATGTCGTTTAGTTTGGACCTAATCAAAAATAAATCATTAAAAGTCTGATTAACATTCATTTGTCTTCAGAATTTTCAAAATCTCTAGTTACTACCTTTAAAAAAATTTTTTTTAACGTTTACTTATTTTTGAGAGACGCAGAGAGACAGGGCATGAGCGGGGGAGACGCAGAGAGAGAGTGAGACATAGAATCTTAAGCAGGCTCCAGGCTCTGAGCTGTCAGCACAGAGCCTGATGTGGGGCTCAAACTCATGGGCTGTGAGATCATGACCTGAGCTGAAGTTGGATGCTTAACCAAGTGAGCCACCCAGGCACCCCTTCTACTTACTACCTTTTAGTGAGAAGTATATTTGAAGTATTGTAGACATATCCCTTACCTTGAAAATTTCTCATCAAACAAATGCTAACCCAGAAGAGTCTGTATACTTGTCCTCTCCATTCCATTCCCAGGCTGTCAGTATGTTGGAAGAGACCTGTCCTATTCAATGTACTCACTCCCCTAGACTGTATCTGTCTCATTCATCCCTGCATCTGCACTGTATCCAGCAGTGTGCCTAACACTCAAATATTTTATGACTGATTGCTATCTCTCAACCATCTTCCCCTGTGCAAACATTATCTAAATAAGCACTATCCTTGATAAGAAAAAAACCATCAATAGGGGGCGCCTGGGTGGCTCAGTCGGTTGGGCATCCGACTTCAGCTCAGGTCATGACCTCACAGTTCAAGAGTTGGAGCTCCAAATCGGGCTCTGTGCCGACAGCTCAGAACCTGGAGCCTACTTCGGAATCTGTGTCTTCCTCTTCCTCTGCTCCTCTCCTGCTCATACTCGTCTCTCTCTCAAAAATGAATAAAAAATTTTAAAAATTCTAAAAAAGAAAAGCCATCAACAAAAATTTTGTGCAAATATAGAAATGCGTACAGCTAATATCCACACCCTGCATGCAACCAATCAGCAAAGCCTGTCAACTCTAACTTTTGAATATATCCAGAATCAAATCACTTATCACCTCCACCATTACCACTCTGGTCCAACTCGTCTCTCTCACCCAGCCAACTGCAACAGCTGGCCTCCCAAATGGTCTCCTTGCTTCCACCTTTTGCCTTTACATTCTAGGCTTAGTAGCTGGAGTGATGTTTTCAAAATAAAAATCACAGTATGTTACTTCTCTGTTCAAAAACGTTCCAACGCTTTTCTGAGGCAGAGTAAAATTCCAAAGTCTCTACCACCACCTCTAAACAGAGTTTGGTCTTCAGACCTCTTCTCTTTTCCTATTTATACTCACACTTTGGTGACCATCTGATCTTATGGGTTTAAATTATGTACGTATGCATACATATAGCTCAAATACTGTATGTATAGTTTAAATATGATATACATACGCTGATGACACCGTTTTTATCTCTAGAGCAGACCTCTCTAAACTCTACCTGGATGTCCAATTGGTATCTCAAACTTAACATGTCCAAAAGTGAGCTCTGCAAAATTGCTCCTCCTAGTCTTACCCGTCTCAGTAATGGAAACCATTTGTCCTGTTCTTTATTCTTGATCCTGAGATCAAGACCTGAGGCTGAGATCAAGGGTTGGATGCTTAACCCACGAAGCCACCGACGCACCCCAGTCCTATTCTTTAGATCCCAAATCTGAGAATCATCCTTGATGCCTTCCTCCATATCCATTCTATCCAAAAAATCCTACTGGCTCATTCCTCAAAATATATCCAGGATCCAACCATTTCTTATTACCTCTGTGACCACCATACTGGTCATCATTATCTCTTGCATGGACTATTAAACAGCTTTTATTTCTCTGCCCTTCAACCACCCTTCCACTTATTCTTGACACAGAGATCAAAGTAAACCAAAATTCAAGTCAGACCATGTTACTCCTCCACTCAAAACACTCCCAAATCTTCCAGTCTTACTTAGAGTAAAAAACAATAAAAGGGGCACCTGGGTGGCTCAGTTGGTTAACTGTCCCACTCTTGGTTTCGGCTCAGATCATGAACTCATGGTCCATGGGATCAAGCCACAAGATGGGCTCTGTGCTGGCAACACAGAACCTGCTTGGGATTCTCTCTCCTCTCTCTCTTCCCCTCCCCCACCCCACCTCTCCCTCTCAAACATTAAAAAAGCAACAACAACAAAAACTCAGGATGGCACTACATAAGTAGGCTTTTTATTACTCCTCTGATCTCACCCTTTTATGTTTATTTTTGAGAGAGAACACGTGTGCACATGTGCGAGCGGAGGAGGGGCACAGAGAGAGGGAGACAGAGAATCTGAAGCCGGCTCTGTGCTGACAGCAGGCAGCCAATGCAGAGCTCGAACTCACAAATGGTGAGATCACGGCCTGAGCCAAAGTTGGACGCTTAACCAACTGAGCCATCCAGGTGACCCCGGTCTCGTCTTTTATTACTGTTCCCTTCATTCATCTGGCTCCAGCCACAATGGCTTCCTTACTGTTCTTCAAACAGGCCAGGAAAACTTCAACCTCTGAATCCTTACAATTGCTGGCTCCTTCTCTTCCTTCCCCTGGATATCTACATGGTTTACTTACTCATTTCATTCAAGTCTACATTCAATGTCATTTTATTAGAGAGGCCTTCCCTGATCATCCTCCGTATTAAATCCATCCAACCACTCATCTCCTCTACTTGTAACTTACCTGACAGATCATATATTTGCTTACTGCCTGCCTTTCTTCATAAGAGAACAAAAACCATATAGTCATTGGCACACAAAAGATACTCAATAAATTGTTCAAGTTGAACTCAAAGCTTTGCCCCTACCAAATTTAGTAAAAAAGCTACCAGTGTTACCAACAAAGTCATCTTCCCCTCAGTGATTATACTTACCCATGTACATAAAATAAGGTATAAAGCTTCTTTGCATCAGTCATGCAGCTTCGAGTTACAGACAGGACTCCCTTGGGGCCTACTGTCAGGGGTTCAAGGGCAGGATTTCCAGACTCTACAAGCTGGGAAAAGAGGCGCTCCACACTGCGACGACAACCAACACATGGGACGAGCTGAGAAAGTGCACTCAATACTTCCCGTGATGTCACCACCATGGCAATACTTAGATCTTGCTGCTTAAGCATACTATGTCGCTGAAAGAGAGAAAGAAAGAAAATTGAAGAACAGTCCTTGAGACATAAAATTTCTCTTGACTACTTCTGGTTCCTATTTTTGTGTAGTAAGTACAACCTGGAAAGGGCTTGTGATCTCTATCTGCAATGGAGTCAGAAAAATAAGTCGGCTTTCCCCATGGTGTACTGAATTTGCTCCACAAAGCTCCTGTTTTGGCAATTAAGGTATAAAAAACTCTGCTTAGCCTGTCAGGACTAAACAGTATGTGCCCCAGCATGGTGAAAAGCAGCCCTGGATCTGGAAATTTAGTGTTTGTTCACTGAATATTAAGCTTAGTACACTCACTTGAAATAAAAATTTTAAAAGGCAGAAAATAAAGGAACAACACAGCTTTGCCATGTCTTCCTCTCAACTTTTAACAACACACTATGTTTAGCTACAGGAATCAGGTTAGGATGATGATCATGTACAGCAGCAATTCTCAACCTGGAGGTATGGGCAGGTGTTTTACGGATTAGTAGGAAAGAACAAGGCCTATTTTACCCATGTAGGAGCCTACAGTGAGTAACTAAAATGCTGGTGCAGCATATGAATGTTATCTGTTGGTTATGACAAGCTAGAAAAATGACTGAGAATCTCACCACAGCTGTAGAGAAACGGGCAAAACTCTAGTAAATAACTTTTACCTGGATGGAGTTAGTTATACTACAAATAATGCTTCCAGCTTTACCAAAAAAGGATGGGAAAGTAAGATACTCCTAAGAATTTTCTCACAGTTACCATCAACCTTTCATTTTCCAAAGTAGAAAAAGAATTTTGAAGTAACAATTTACCTTCCATTATCTTGATTACATACAGGGTTTTATAAAATATCACAGTTTAAAAATTAAATAGAACTCAAAAAAATTAAATAAAAATCATAAAATTTGCAGCACAGGATTTCTTTTTTTTTACTTGAACAAACAATCAATAAATCACTACAGAAGAAAAACAACAAGTTCTCAATAAAAAGTTATATACTTTACCTTTCAAAAACAAGCAAAGATGGCTTGGTGAAACTAAAGCCTTAGGGACACAGAAAATGATAACATCACCAAATCTCTTTCACATAACAGCAACATAAATATATTCATTGTCGCACTAGTGAAAGAAAGCAATTTCAGTGCAATCTTAAGGCCTAGAGAGTCCTAGGTATTAATACTTAAAGCTAAAATTTTAAATGACTCTTCAAAACACACACATACACCATTTAAAACATTGATTTTTAAAAATATTACCTGAATAAACTGCTTTAGTTGTGCACCATTATTTTGATGCCCATCGAGATTTAGTACGTTGTCAGGAAATTCCATCACCATCTTAATATGCAAAAGAATGAAAATCAATTATTTTATCTTCTTTGAACACATGCTACAAACTATTTTATAAACTCCTAGGACAGAAATATACCCCTAAAGCAGGATTTGCATATCCCGGTCCTGCCCCCTGTCAAAAAAAAGTTAGAAACAAAACAAAACAAAAACTCAAGTTATCCACATTTCTAAAGCCAGAAATGGTACAGTAATTAGAGGCAAGGACACCAAAGTCAGGCAAACAAGAGTTCAACTCCCAGCTCTACCACTTACAATCTAGGTTGTAACTCTGGCAAGTTACTTAACCTGTTTGATTCTAAGCTTCCTCATTTGTAAAATGAGTTTAAGGAATAATGTTTAAGATCTCATAGAGTAGGTTGTGAGGATTAAATTACATTTAAAAGTGTTTGTTGCAGTGCCCAATAATAACATTTAATAAGTAAAATAACCTGATTATCTTACATTAGACAGACAAGCATATTTTCAGCTATTTCTTTTAACTACAAAATAGAGTAAATTTTATAATGTAAATGATCATGGGGCACCTGGGTGGCTCAATCGGTTAAGCGTCTGACTTCAGCTCAGGTCATGATCTCACGGGTTCGTGAGTTCAAGCCCAGCGTCGGGCTCTGTGCTGACAGCTCAGAGCCTGAAGCCTGCTTCAGATTCTATGTCTGCCTCTCTCTCTGCCCCTCCCCCACTCAGGCTCTCTGTCTCAAAAATAAATAAACACTAAAAAAAAAAATTGTTTTTTTTTATAATGTAAATGACCATACACACAATATATGAAATACTCAGAACAGTACCGGGCACATACTAAATGTCTGCTCTGATTATGAACAAAAAGGATATAAGGTATTTATTCAAATGTCAAAATTCCCTACCAGAGGAAGATCATGGGGAATTACTAATTAGCACATGTCACTTGATCTGTGATTCCACTGATTATGAGAAGTACCATAGTTACATACCACTGAGAAAGAGCCATTATAACTGTTAGCTGTCAGCAAATGAAAGAAACATCCAATTTCAGAGATATTAAAATGTGGGGGCAAATAAAGTATGCCTTTCAAAACAATGAAATAAAGTAACACATTTATATCTTAACTAAAACATTGTTAAAGGTATCAAACATACTGTGCTAGAACAAACTTCTATTTCTAGATGACAAGGACCACGAACTCCTACATACTCACAGAGTGAAGTCATAATAAAAGACCCATTTGAGACAAAAACAAAACACTACAAATACCCCAACCAGTTGAACATGATCTTAAAACTAATTCCTCCTGCACCAACCAGTACCACAAAGACCTGCTTTTTTAATAGTGGTAACCATTCTTTTTCCTCCACATTAGACATGAGAGCCCTAAAACATGCTTGTTCTAACAATAAAGACTGAACAACAAAGACAAGTGTAAGCAATAGATTGATCTTTTCTTGACTTGATAAAGGGGGGGGGGGGGGGGGGAGTACAGGATACGTGAAGTAGAGACAACTGGATACGAAGGATGGACAATGATGCAAGCAACAACTCAACACTCCAGGACTCCACTATATTTCACAAAATGAAAAACTCCAGGTACAATAGGATTCAAATGACTGTATGTGTGCATTTTCTTACAGAAAAAGAAAATACATGATATATTAGATGTGGCCTATCTCTAGGCAGCGAAAAGATAGAGGACTTTTTCCTTTATGTGTTCCTACCTTTCCCAAATTTATTACAATGCACATATACTGTTTATTATCGAGGAGAAAAATTAGTGTTCCTTGCTTCCAATTCTATATTCATTATATTGTACTCAAGAGACATGCTTCCATCTCAATAGCTTTTACTGTTCTGGAAGTTTCTTCCCTCATATAGATTATATATCCAAATCTCATAGGTTCAAGGATCAATTATCGAATTTCAGGTTTATCGACTTCTCTCTAGTTTTCCCTCTCATAGTCTTATTAATGTCTCCAAGAGTGTTAATTAATTACTATTAATATCTCCAAAGAGTAGTAGTAAGAGGGGAAGCCATTTAGTGTAGCTTCATTTACACTGGGTATTGTTCTAAGCACTTTCATATGTTAACTTTACCAATAGTACTAAGTAAAACTGGTCACTGGTCTGCTTTAGGTGGCCCTAAATGAATTGGTGAGAATAACAGAAATAAATGGGCAAAAAAGTCTAATGATCCATACTATTATATTTAGCAGTGTTTACTCAAATTAAAAAAAAATTAATAATCCCCAGACTTCCAGCTGAATTACAAAGCTGTAATCATCAAGACAGTATGGTATTGGCACAAAAAACAGACACTAAGATCAATGGGACAGAATAGAGAACCCAGAAATGGACCCACAAATGTATGACCAGCTAATCTTTGACAAAGCAGGAAAGACTATCCAATGGAATAAAGACAGTCTCTTCAGCAAGCGGAGCTGGGAAAACTGAACAGCAACATGCAGAAAAATGAACCTGGACCACTTTCTTAACACCATACACAAAAATAAACTCAAAATGCATGAAAGACTTAAATGTAAGACAGGAAGCCATCAAAATCCTCGAGGAGAAAGCAGGCAAAAGCCTCTTTGATCCTGACTGCAGCAACTTCTTACTCAACAGGTCTCTGGAGGCAAGGGAAAACCAAAGCAAAAATGAACTATTGGGACCTCATCAAGATAAAAAGCTTCTGCACAGTGAAGGAAACAATCAGTGAAACTAAAAGGCAACCGACAGAATGGGAGAAAATATTTGCAAATGACGTATCAGATAAATGGTTAGTATCCAAAATAGATAAAGAACTTATCAAACTCAATACCCAAAAAACAATCCAGTGAAGAAATGGGCAAACAATATGAATAGACACTTCTCCAAAGAAGACATCCAGATGGCCAACCGATATATGAAAAATGCTCAACATCATTCACCATCAGGGAAATACAAATGAAAACCAGTGAGATACCACCTCACACCTGTAAAAATGCCTAACATCAACAACTCAGGCAACAACAGATGTTGGCGAGGATGCGGAGAAAGACGATCTCTTTTGCACTGTTGGTGGGAATGCAAACTGGTACAGCCACTCTGGAAAACAGTATGGAGGTTTCTCAAAAAGTTAAAAATAACTACCCTATGACCCAGCAATTGCACTCCTAGGTATTTATCCAAGGGATATAGGTATGCTGTTTTGAAGGGACACACGCACCCCAATGTTTAGAGCAGCGCTACGACAACAGCCAAAGTATGGAAAGAGCCCAAATGTCCATTGATGGATGAATGGATACAGATGTGGTATATACATACAATGGAGTATTACTCAGCAATCAAAAAGAATGAAATCTTGCCATTTGCAACTACATGGAAGGAACTAGAGGGTATTATGCTAAGCGAAATTAGAGATACAATGCAGATGAACATAAAGGAAGGGAAGCAAAAATAATATGAAAACAGGGAGGGGAACAAAATAAAAGAGACTCTTAAATTTGGAGAACAAACGAGGGTTACCGGAGGGGTTGTAGGAGGGGGGGATGGGCTAAATGGGTAAGGGGCATTAAGGAATCTACTCCTGAAATCACTGTTCCACTATATGATAATTTGAATGTAAATTTAAAAAGTTAAATTAAAAAATTAATAATCCCAATTATCAGATCCATGAAAACTGGTAGAAGATAAAAAATAGTTAATAGTACTGAACAGTTAACTCACATTATGTTATCTGGAATCACTACACGGTTTAAAACACAAACAAACTGAACTGTCAAGTCAGAATAAAGGTGTAGGATAAACTTTCAAAGTCATGTAACTTAACAGAACACTGCAGGACACTCAAAATCTACCATGTAAGCAACTAACACCTTGATATGCATTCTCACCGGTTTGGTACAAATGTATCAAACAATTACATATCTATTGCCACCATAAAAAAGAAAATTAAGATTAAAGCGGCCAATTTAAGGAACAAAGAATGCCTCTTATTTAACCAAATCAAGGTCTCTCCTGCTTGGTTCATAGATGAAATCCTAAATTCTCCGTATAAATGAATTATTTTTATTCTTATCAACTATGTTTTATTAATAATTAAGGCAGAGATCAAAGAACAAATCTAACATATTGAGACCTACCAGCTGACCTTTAAAATATATATAGTGTAGGGGTGTCTGGGTGGCTCAGTCAGTTAAGCATCCAACTCTTAACTCCAGCTCAGATCATGATCTCCCGGTTCATGATATGGAGCCCTACATCGGGCTCTGTGGTAATGGTGCAGAGCCTGCTTGGGATTCTCTCTCTCCCTCTCTGCCCACCCCCTCTCCAAATAAACTTTAAATAAAAATATGTATTATTTAATGGGATAATACCTGCATTGGGAATCCTTTCTAAAAGGTACAACAATGGACAGGGTGAAAAAAAATTTCTTAATGCTCATTTCAGATCATTTCATTTTCATCAAACTAGTAAAGATAAATGTCAAGATTGGGTCTATTACCGTGTTTTTCCTATGTTTCACTGGCTTGGATAATACTAAATTTTCTCTTGTACTTAATCTATACCACCCTGGTTACAAACTCTGCACTTAATATTTTAAGTGTCCTTGCCTTTCAAACTTACAGTAATGGCTTTTTACCTTGCTGTTTTCTGGCCAATCACTACATGCTCTTTAACGTTGAGAGAAAGAAGACAGTAAGAAAAAAGGAAAAAGAGAAGGCAAAGAGGATAGTAGCACTATTTTTCCCCATTCCTTAAAACCACTTCCTTGACTTAATATTCAGTTTCTAGGTTACCTAGAGGAAGACAGTCATGTAAAATATTTCAGGTGTGGTTTCACAGAGACATCATTAGTGTTCTGCTTCATGATGAGGTTGCCTATCCCTAGCTAGCCAAAAATAGAACCAGTCACTGTCCTGCAATTACTGTCTTATAAAGTTTATTGAATCCATTACCCACTTTCACTCTTAAATTATCTCTCCTGACCATAAATAATCTGTTTTTAGCACATTTTCACAAGCTCTAACCAACATTATTAAATTTTTATTTATTATTTAGCTTAACTTTTTTACTTCATCCTCACAGGTATTTATAACATCTATTGCCTCTGGTAAAATCAATTAAATACCTAAGAGTTCTAAGAAAACACTAAGTACTAAATTTAACAAATGCTAAACACCTAATCCCCAAGTGGATATGCCACCATTTATTATGTTTTAATGTCTTTGTTAAAAACCATTATCAAGGTCACACCTGATGGCTCAGTTGGTTAAGCATCCCACTCTTCATCTTGGCTCAGGTCACTATCTCACAATTCTTGAGAACGAGCCCCATGCAGGACTCTGCACTGACAGAACAGATCCTGCTTGGGATTCTCCACCTCTCTCTGAACCTCCCCTGCTTGCTCTCCCTTTCTCTCAAAATAAATAAATATACTTAAAAAAATTATCAGGGGTGTCTGGGTGGCTCAGTCCATTAAGCGTCCATCTCTTGATTTCGGCTCAGGTCATGATCTCATGGTTCGAGCCCCACGTAGGGCTCTGCATTGACAGTGTGGAGCCTTCTTGGGATTCATTCATTCTCTCTCCTCCCCCCCCCCCCATGCTCTCTCTCTAAAAATAAATAAGCTTAAAAAAATATTATCTAAGTCTTTAGTCCACTTAGATTATTTGAATTAGGAGAGTAAACTGCATCCCAGCAATATTGTAGCAATTTGACAGCATGTGTCAAGAACTTTATAAAAGGTTCTTATCCTTTGACCCAGTAACTGTAGTTCCAAAGCCTGAGGAAAAAAAAAAAAAACTTTAATGGAGAAATTTATGCCTTATTTATATCCCTATAGCATTATTCATAGTAAAAAATAGAATCATCCCTATATCCACAAAGGAAAAATGATTAAATTATGGAATGTTACACAACAAACTACTACATGGTCAGTAAAGCTACTTGGGGGTGCCTGGGTGGCTCAGTTGGTTGAGCATCTCACTCTTGATTTCAGCTCAGGTCATGACCTCAGGCAGTGAGATGGAGCCCTGCACTGGGGTCCTTGCTAACAGTGTGGGGCCTGCTTGGGATTTTCTCTCTCTCCCTTTCTCTCCATACCTCCCCTGCTCATGCCTGCTCTCCCTCAAAATAAGCAAACATTGGAGAAAAAAAAAAGGTGCTTAAGAATGAGAAGAGCAAATGTCCTCAGTATTACATTCAGCAAAAAAAGCGATATATAAAATGTTCTAGTAGACAATACATCTCAACTCTGTATCTATGTGTCTTTGACTAGAATTACAGCAAATGCTGCTATATCCTTAGTTATCTCTGGGAAGCAGAATTAAGGAGAATTTTTTTGTTATATGGTAATTTTTAAAGACTACTTTGTAAGGATATAAATTTTGACTATTCTTTTAAAAACTACTCACTTGAAAACCATAATTCTTCAAAACTGTCTCTAAAATAAAATCTGTAATCTGTCCATCTGCTATTTTATAATTCTAGTAACACAAAAAGAATTTTGGCCATATAGCATACCACTTTTATAAATATTCCACTAGCTTACTTATTTGGTATTTTCTTAAATACACTTATATCAGCACTGTACTCTAGTATTCAAACCACAAAATTACAAAACGAGTCTTAAATGTGGATTCAACATGCCACATAAGAGGAGGCTACTTCCTCATATACAAGCTTCTCGATTTTATTTTACAAATCCTAAGGTAAAATCACAGGTTGAACTAAGGACAGAAGTTTCAGCTTCTGTTACCAAAACAATACGACATCTGTAATTGAATTGTGAAAGTTGTAACCAGGCTTAACACCTAGGTCCTAACAAAATTCTAAAACCACTTTAAAGATCACACAATGTTTTTTCAGTACCTACGGACCCTAAGAACAAAGACCAGACCAAACGTTAACTTCAGGGATACACTGCCATCAAACTATCAGTGGACCAGTGAGAGCATAAACTTCTGCTACAGGCATCTTCCCTCCTTCTTCCCCAACAGGTGTTTGCTCTGCATTCTTCTTTTAAGTAGTATTTGGTAGAACAGTTCTGAAAGAAACTTATTTTCTTAAATATAATGCATTCTTGACAAGAATTTTCACTAACCACCATTCAGGGACTATGCACAAGTTCTGAGACAAAACAATTAATAGTCCCACTCATTGCTAGTGGCAAAAACCAATCTAAAGCCAAGAAAAACTGTACCTTTTGCTAAATTAATGCTATTGTAAGATATTTAAATTAAATAATCCTAAATTTTATTTGCTTTGGCCACAAGTCCACAATACAATAAAAGCAAAACTCAACTACCAGGTTCAATCCAATCCCAACTTCTCTGGAGAAATAAGTACAATAATATACCACAGTGCAAGGTTCCATCTTTTTCTATGGAAAATTTTAGAAATTAATACCACTGTACAGAGAATATAAAAACACCCACTGCTTTAAAGTTCTATATGACAGATTTATCAAAGCTGCATTCACACAAAAGGTGGTTATGTGACATAAAGAGAGAATCAGTGTCTATAAAAACTCAAATTTATGTTGGTTTCCCCTATGTTTTGATATCATACACTCAAAAGTAATCTTATGTCTAAACCCGTAAGATTTTTTTTAAACATCAAAGACATTCTGGGACAATAATCATAGAAGGTTGATACCAAACTATGGTGCTCTAGAAAAAGTGTGTTAGAGTTGGAAGAGAAAAAAGTAACAAATGAACATCTATTATTTTTCAAATTGAGAAATGCCATCATTTCATTTGATCAGAGTGCTTGTTTTTTTTCCTAACTTAAAATACAATTCCGTTACACTGTTAATGCAAAAAATGCAGAAATCATAACCAAGATATACAAGCACTTTCAAATGCACCAACACGAATTCTATTTACCTTATGTCAGGCCAAATCATTCTACCTTTTTCTATGAAAAAAAATATATATACGTGGGTAAGTATAGATGCTTTCACTTAAAAAGTTCTAACAAATCAAGTCATTGAATAGCTCTTCTAATCCTTTTACAAGTACTGCAGCTCAATCAAATTTTAATTGAGACTGGCAAACAGAAAGGCATAGAGTGGCAGCTCTACAATGACTTGCATTTTATATAAAATTTGAAAAAACTTCGATATTTGCCCAAAATATTCAACAACAAAACAGAACTGCCTCTGAAAAACAGAAAGGTACAGTTAATAAGGCAAATGTGATAATATGAAAAGACTGAGTTACACCTATCAAAACAGACAAATGTATAATACAAAGCTTCAACAGCATCAAAATGCAGATTTCAAAAATATTTAGAAAAGGTTCATTTCATTTCTTAAGAAATAGTGGCAACTGCACTCATTTCCTGTTCTGATTCAATTCAAATTTCTGCCATTTCCTTTCAGAGGAAATAGTACAGCAACACAGGGCAGAGGGTCAGTAATGCTCTACTATCATCAACTCTAAAAAACAAAACTACCCTGAGTGGGTTTTGACACTCAAGATGAGCAATCAGCTTTTTATAATGCTCTTACACATTCAATAATTTTGCTTCATTAACAAAAGGAGAAAAGGTTACCTGTAAGCTAAAAAATAACTATTGCCAAGAAAACCCATTTTGAAGAGTCACGGCTTAGCAATACAATAATTTCAAAGAGTTTTAATATACTGGGCGATATGAGACTATTTGCAATGAAACCAAATCATTTTAGTGGAATCTTTCCTGTACAAGAGCATGTCACTCTGCCCTCAGTAATTATGCTTCTGTAGTGAGCTACATACAGTATTGAGACAGAAAATATACAGGTAGCAGTGCAGCTGCGACATTTCCAGATAATTAAGACTCCCCGAGGGTAGGTGGATTCTGTAAAGGATAGGCCCTAAACGCCCAGGATCCTTCAACCCCTCTCCGAGACGCATGCTTTGGCAAAAGCAGCGTCTCATAAAGGGGCAGGGGAAAGGAAGAGGGTTCAAAAAGGAAGGAAAACCTGGCGAGAGAGGCTCGAAATGCTTACGGAGCGCTGGGCTAGGAGCCCGCAGAGGTTACCGTGCGACACACTGCAAAGGCGAGTTTGTGGGGCCTGCCGGAGAGAAGGCCTCGCCTAGGAGTTGCAACACACTCTTTCTCCAGTGCGCAGCGCTCGGCCTGGGGGAGGGGGAGGAGGGGAAACAGCTGCCAGGGGAGCTGCGAGCCCGGCCCGGCCCGCTCACCGTGAGAGTGTCGTCTATGTAGAGAGGAATCTGTCTCCTCTCGAAGGGGAACTCCTCCTCCCCGTCCCTGCACACTGCCACCAGTCGCGCCATCGTTCCCGACGCTGCCGTTGCCACCGTCACCACCTCCTCCCAGCTGCCGCCGCTGCTGCTGCTGCTCCTGCTGCTGCCGCTGCCGCCTCCTCCCAGCTCCTGCCTGCAACAGCCAAACCCCGCGAGCGTAAGCACCCGCCGCCGCGCAGCACTTTCGCCACGGGGGGGGGGGGGGGGGGGGGGGAGAAGAGCAGGAGGGCACGGGAAAGCGGGACTGCGTTTCCCATCACCCGATTCCACACGCGCTGAGCCAATCAGCGCCGAGCAGTGCCGGGACCCGCCCCCTCGTGCCTCTTGCCTTCCCCAGCCCCCACCCCCGCCGGCCTCCAGTCAGGGTCCAAAGGAGAGGCGGAAGGGACCCATCGGCCCCGGGGCTTCCCCAGCCCGTCACCGGAGTCCCAGCTCTAGGACCCCACCCACGGCCTCAGCACCACAGCCCACCTCCTACTTTCCGCCGCCGGGGACCCCTTCCTCCCCTTTCTTGGAGCGCCCCGCCCAATCAGTCCCCAGGGCTGCAGTTGCCCGGCACGACCCCGCCCCTAGGAGGGGTCGACCCCGCCTCAGCTCTGCGGAGTCTGTAGAGGGAGGCGCAGACCCCTTCCTCACCCTCCTCGGAAGAGACCTCTCGGTTCTGACCTTCACCGTTTTCCTGGTCGCCTCCCTGACCCCCACCTCTGCTCCCCGTTACCGGCTGACGAGGCCCGCGTCAGGGCCGGCCTTGGCGGGAGCGCGGCTCCGAATGCCGTTTCCTCTCCAGGCTCAGTCAGCCGCTCGCGCCACGGGGAGTGGGGGAGGGAGGGCGGGGGACGTGGGGAGGGTGGGGCAGGGAGGGGCCGAGAACGCTGGGCGGAGCCCCGCCTTCTCTCGCGATACTGTAGACCGACGCTCCCGGGTCGCCTCTTTCGAAATTCTGGTGGAGGGGGTGGGGTGGTCCCCAGGGTACCTAGAACGTGTTACCGACCCTTTCCCCCGAGTCTAGCTACCCGAATAAATCCGAAGTAGGGTTGCCAGGAGTGAGTAGGCCCAAATCTCTGTCCCTGGCCGCAGGGGCCTGGGAACGGCTCTCCCGAGGGCCGAAAGGAGCCGAGCCGAGCTGACTCAGGGCCGACCCAAGGGTCGAGGCCCTGGGAGGACTTCGGTAAGTGGGGAGGAGCTGAGGCTTTCGCAGTCAGCGGTAGGAGAAAGCGAGAGTGAGGGAAGGGGAGACGAGCGCCTGGACAGTAAGAGACAAACTCTGAGCTTGGTTTCCAGGCACTTGACGCCGCTTTCCCTGACACCCTGATTGACCAGGGGCCTGCCGCATCACTGCTTCCCTGATTGAGACTGCGTCAAGATCCCACTGAGGGAAACTATTAGAGTGCTGATAGGTTAGTGCTCTAGTTGCTACACTAGAGGCAACTAGGAGACTATCTGGACAGTGGCCTGGTGTGCAGCCTGGCCAGAGAAACTTCTTGGGCCCGGTTAATATTAACAGGGACTCAGGACACGGATTCCCTTGGGCAAAGTACTGGTACCGGCCAAAGGCCCTTCCCCCGACCCTCTTCTGAGAAGCAGATCCGCTGTAAAGACGATTCATCTACACTCTGCGTGCCACCACGTACTCATTTTCTACCTTGAAGGCTTTGGAGGCCTGTTGTAAAACCAAAATAGTTGTTGGGAAGTATTTTGCCTATTAAAGTCTTGACGATTTTAGGGATAAATCCATTTGTTGCTCTTAAAACTAATACTGATGACAGATCTATATTTCCTGGTAGAGTATGCTAGAGCAGTGATACTGATCTTTAAAAAGTATTTTGAGGGGCGCCTGGGTGGCGCAGTCGGTTAAGCGTCCGACTTCAGCCAGGTCACGATCTCGCGGTCCGTGAGTTCGAGCCCCGCGTCGGGCTCTGGGCTGATGGCTCAGAGCCTGGAGCCTGTTTCCGATTCTGTGTCTCCCTCTCTCTCTGCCCCTCCCCCGTTCATGCTCTGTCTCTCTCTGTCCCAAAAATAAATAAACGTTGAAAAATAAAAATAAAAAAATAAAAATAAAAAGTATTTTGGTCATCACCTGAAATCTTAGAGACTCACAACAAAAAAACCCCACAGTGCATCTTTAGCCATGTTGACTTATGACATTGTGTTGTCACTGTTAGGGTAGGTGACATAATAAACGGAAAGAATCATTGTTCAGTCCCAACGGTGTGATTATTCAGTGAGTATTATTTATGTCTTTTGGCCATGTTAGGAGAGCAGAACAATATGATAGCTTGGATCCAATAGACAAATAGGAAGTGCGTGCACCTTTTGACAGGTTAGATTACATAGCCAAAATCTGGACTTTTGGATGTTTCATGTAAAAACATTCCTCTTAGGAAAAAATACTGTGGGTTTTAAGATCTAAAGGTGCTCTTATAAAGACTAAATTAATGTACCTACTTTATACCTCGTTTTATTTATTTATTTATTTTGAGAGAGAAAAAGCACAAGTGGGGGAGGGGCAAAGAGAGAGGGAGAGAGAGAATCCCTAGCAAGTTGTGTGCTGTCAGCACAGAGCCTGATTTCAGGCTTGATCTCACAAAGCGAGAGATCATGACTGGAGCGGGAACCATCAGTCGGATGCTTAACCTACTGAGTCACCCAGGTGCCCGCCCCCCCCCACCGGCTTTATACCTTTTAAGCTTCCTTTGGATTGTAGTTAGTAAAGGACATTGAAGATGACAAGCTCAATATATAGGTGCTGATTTTAATTACCTTCATTATTGAGCACACACTGGGTACTAGCAAAGAACTGAGTATTCACCCTGGGGATTTAAATCTTAAAAAGGCATTAAAACCCAAATATAAAACATGATGAGACCACAACAGTCTCTTTCCATCTGCGATTACTTTCCCTGATTTGGATGTGTCTTTTATTAACTAATCTCTGCATCCAACATGGATCAAACTCACAACCCTGAGATCAAAAGTCCCATGCTCTACTGACTGAGCCATCCAGGTGCTCCTGGGTTTGTCTTTTACATCCACTAAACACACTGCTTAGTATCTTTGGACAGTGTTTCACATACTTTTAGGTAGTCAGTGAATACTTACTGTAAAGTTAAAAAGGTAGATAATGTGCTAGATAAGTTGTTCTTTCTCAAGCAAGTAAGGTGATATAGCTTGGGTGCTCCAAATATGATAAAATCAATATTTGAGGGGAAATGCTTAGAAAATTATTTCACTGGGAGCACCTGGGTGGTTCAGTTCGTAGGGCATCTGACTTCAGCTCAGGTCATGATCTTATGGTTTGTGGGTTCGGGCCCTGTGTTGGGCTCTGTGCTGACAGCTCGGAGCCTGGAGCCTGCTTCGGATTCTCTGTCTCCCTCTCTCTCTTTGCTCCTCCTCCACTCATGCGTGCATGTGTGCTGTCTTTAAAAAATAATAAAGTAACATTTACAAAATTAAAAATTGTTTCACTGGAAAACAATTTTTAGAAGTTTTATCTATTGGGGGGGCACCTGGGTGGCTCGGTCGGTTAAGCGTCCAACTTCAGCTCAGGTCATGATCTCACAGTCTGTGAGTTCAAGCCCTGCTTCCGGCTCTGTGCTGACAGCTCAGAGCCTTGAACCTGCTTGGGATTCTGTCTCCCTCTCTCTCTGCCCCTCCCCCACTCATGCTCTGTCTCTGTAAAATGATTAACATTAAAAAATTTTAATAAAAAGTTTTAACTATGTATCTTCTTAATTTTAGAGCAGGCACTCATTTTCACTATTGGTCTAGCTTCAGCTAAAACCAATACTGCTGCAGCAAATATTTCATGACTTAAGTCATGAAGAGAGCCTTTAGAGAATTTAGAGAGCCTTTAGAACCTAAGAACCTTTAGAGAACTTAACTCTAATTGACAAAATAAGTTATTACATAAAAAAGCCATTTGTTGCCTATTTTAAAATTTCAATATAGGCATTGTGAAATACAAGGTTGAAGGATTGGAAAGGCCAGGAAAGAAGGCAGTCAACAGCAGAGGACATTTTGCTGGTACCTAGTAACAGTTGGAGTGATGGAGAGGTGATAAATCATCAACAAAATACCATTCTTTTTCTTATTTGGTCCCTAATGTGTGAGAGCCAGCCCCAAAACTCAAGCATGAATGAGATATGACTATTGCCAAGCTACTTAGGTTTAAGAGAAAGAAGAGGACCTAATTTTTCCTTATATTATTTCTTATCTTCATAGACCACACATAAATTCCTGGGGAGCAAAATAAAACTTTGTATGATTTATGCATCATATTGGACATCAATGCTCAATAAAAATAAAACTGGTTGCTATCTTCCAAACACAAGCTAGCTATGGATACATATTGGTAGGTATCTCCAGTTTAAGTTGGGTAATTTAAAGTCATGGGAATGAGTCAATTCCTTAAGATCATCGATAGAATAAGGTCCTAGACCACATTATACTCTGCTTTTTCCCCCTTCCTTCTCTGTCTCCACAAATTGATAGTTGAGGGTCACCTAGCTGGCTCAGTTGGTGGAGCATGGGACTCTTGATCTTGGGTTTGTGAGTTCAAGCCACATGTTGGGTATAGAGATTACTTAAAAATATTCAAAAAAATTGACTGTTGAAAATTAGCTAATTAGAATAACATCGTTGTTTTCATGATAATAACCACATTGTTTCATGTGGTAGTAAAATCAATAGCAGAATGTAAGTTTATTTAAATTGCCGTGGTTGTCCAAATCTGAGGATCTGTGAATTTGGTTTTCTTTTTCATGAGCTGACAGTGGGAAGTTTTGTTGTGTCTGTTGAAAATAGAGACACACAAGGAGCCTGGGTGGCTCAGTCAGTTAATTGTCTGGCTTCTATGCAGGTAATGATCTTGCGGTTCATGAGTTCCAGCTCCCCACCAGGTTCTCTGTCAGGGTGGAGACTCCTTTGGATCCTCTGTTACCCTCTCTTTCTGCCCCTCCCCTGCTCGCACACATTCTCTCTCTCTCAAAAATAAATAAAATTTAAAAAAAAAAGACACATTTCCTCCACTTAAATTTTTTTAAAGGGAAAATAATGTCTACAAGTTAAAATAATAAGCCCCTCGAAGGCAGGGACTTTGTCTTACTTTTCGTTTCCCCAGTATCTATACCTGGTACATTGGAGCTCAATAAATGAACGATCTCTTTCTCTTCTATAAACTAGAACCAACTCAGCATGGTCTTTTCTTACTAATTGTTTTGTTTTTATTAAGCTATTTCATTAGCTTTCTCTTACATGACTTTCATAATTAGAGGTGGAAAAAACATAGAGTACACTTTGTTCTTTTAAGTTATGATTCATTATCTGTAATTGTGAGACATAAACTTGAGAGATATTTAAGACCCGGAAAAGAATGAAGGAGCAGTTACTGACAAGAAGCAGCAGACCAGTTAGACAACGTGATCATTTAGTCATCAAATAATTTAAATTACTTTTTTTTTTTAATGAGAGAACAATATTGTTAGAGTCTCCTCAGCTCTCCAGCTTGGAGACTGGAGCCTATTTCAGATTCTGGGTCTCCCTCTCTCTCTGCCCCTCCCCTGCTTGTGTTCTGTCTCTCTCTTTCTCTCAAAAATAAATAAACATTAAAAAGTTAAAAAAAATAATAGATTAATTCCAAATATCATTGATTATAGTTAGCAAAAATGCCACATAAATACTAAATTAGCCATTAACATAATAAATTGAAGTAAACCAATTAGTGTAATAGTCATATTTAACGACTTAAGGAATAAATTTTTAACTAATTTAGAGGCAGCTGATCAAAACAGAAAATTGAAAATTTGATGTTAGAGGAGGCTCCACCCATACTACAAAAATAATCCAGGTTGCTTACCAAATATAAAATTAACTTGAGCATTCTGACCCTTGCCTATTTCTATAATGATCAGATTTCTACTTGAAAATAGAAAACAATAGGCAGATTTTAGTTCTTTTTTTTCCACTTAAAAAAAAAATTTTTTTTTTTTTTTTTTAGCATTTATTTATTGTTGAGAGAGTGCAAGCAGGGGAGGAGCAGAGAGAGAGAGGAAGACACAGAATGTGAAGCAGACTCCAGACTCTGAGCTGTCAGCACAAAGCCCGACACAGGGCTCGAACCCATGAACTGAGATCATGACCTGAGCCGAAGTCAGACGTTCAACCAACCAAGCCATCCAGGCGCCCCTTTCCCCCGCCACTTTAAACAATATACAGGGAACATTATAATCAGAAACTAAGAATTTTATATTTTTAAAATCTTAACATTTTGAACAGCTGGTTCAAATATCTACTTAGAGTTTTTAAATGACTCAAATTCTCAGTAGGATATTAAACTTTAATATAGCTTAGTTGTATTAAATCAGCCTAGTACATGATTTTCTCACCGGTTCTCTTTCCCTTTAACATAGTAGATAAGGCCCCTGCCTGTCTCTCTAGCTTATTACTTTCTCCTGTTTTCTGAACTCCAGCCTTAAGTTTCAAGATGTACTAGTTATCCTCCCAACTCAGGACCTTTGCTGAAGGATACATTCTACCTAGAATGCTGTTTACCCCTTCCCTTAACCACAAACATGGTCCTCAGACCATCCATCAACTCTAGTTCAAAAAAATACCATCTAGGAGCACCTAACTGGCTTAGTCTGTAGAGCACACAACCCTTGATCTCAGGGTTGTTAGAGCCCCATATTGGGTGTAGAGACTACTTAAAAATGAAATCTTTAAAGAAATACCATCTGTGGGAAAAACTTTGACTCTACTAGGTCAGTTCTTGGTTTGACACTCTTGGCAACCCATACTTCATGACTTAACACAGTTTATAATTGTTGTTCAGTGTCTGTTTCCCCACTAGATTGCAAGCTCCAAGATATCAGGAAACCTGCTTATCATTCCTAGCATAGAGTTGGCTAAAAAAATAATCAGTCCCAAAGTAAAACTATTGTCTCATAATTACTAGGCATGTAAACTGCATCATACAATTCATTCCATTTGGAGCATTTAACTGTTTTCTGACTTTGTAGTATTTAAGTATTTGATTATAAACACTTGCTTTCACATACTTAGGCTTTTTTAAAAGGTTAAAACTGAGCAAGTAAAGAAGTGTTGACAATTCCACAATTCACACTGAGATGTTTTCACGCAAATTTTATTATAAAAGTCATACAATAAATTCACATTGAGATGTTTTCATGTAAATGTTATGTCATACAATAAAAAAATACAGAATGGTATGTAAGAAGATAGAAAGTAAAAATCCCCCTCACCCTCCAATCTTTCAGTGTCACAACTGCAGTTTCTTTAAAATACTGAAATTTAATAAATATTCTAATGAGTCACAAGACTTGTTTCTCTATTGGTTTGTTTTATATAGTGTTGAGACACATTAAAACATTAAGCATCGGGGCGCCTGGGTGGCGCAGTCGGTTAAGCGTCCGACTTCAGCCAGGTCACGATCTCGCGGTCCCTGAGTTTGAGCCCCGCGTCAGGCTCTGGGCTGATGGCTCAGAGCCTGGAGCCTGTTTCCGATTCTGTGTCTCCCTCTCTCTCTGCCCCTCCCCCGTTCATGCTCTGTCTCTCCCTGTCCCAAAAATAAATAAACGTTGAAAAAAAAAATTTAAAAAAAAATAATAAAAAAAAAAATAAAACATTAAGCATCATTTATAGAGGGTTGAAAAAAATATGGTTAACACTGGGTTGCCAAAAGCCCATTTTCTTCACATTTAATATTCTTCCTCATTAAAATATTGCTCTAACACAGGTACTTCCTACCCATACTGATCACCAAAATTTTATTGTCTTATCTTGCAAGTGTAGCACATATATAATTAAACAGTTGGTAAACATATAGAGATTGAGCACAAATAAGGCCCACAAAGTACTGCTGTGTAATGTATCTATCAACAGGTTGATCAGACCAGTAGTTATATTTGACAGCAAGAAAAAAATTAACTGGTTTCTGTTCATAGCTGTGATTAAACAAAGACTGGGTTCCTTTCTTTCAGCTTCAGAGACCAGAGATTCTAAATGTTTTTTATTTGTGACAGACGAATGGATCAGTTTCCAAGAACATGGTACCACAGCCTCTTTAATTAGAAATTTGGCAAAACTCAAAATTATATCACCCAGTAATAAACTACTAAGAAGGATCAGGCTAGAAGCAACTATCCAAATACAAAAGGCTAAATTGGCCATTCTCCGAGATACTACTTCTACATTTACCTGAACTATGTAGAGAGATATGAAGAGACTAATAGCTGTCAGCAAAATACAGTGGGCTCCTTTTATCCAGTCTTTGACATGTGATCTTTTTTTAAGCATATATGACCCTGTTTGCACGCCAGCCATATGAATTGCCACATACCCCAAGGTAGAAATTATTCCTTCTCGGTTGGCATTTAATAAACCAACCCTTGTGCCACTACCATCAGTGCCATACAAAATTAACCTTTTCAGTGGGGTAAAGTCAAGGGCCAGCTGGTATAACACAATAATGCTGATTGCCACAATCCAGGATTTATTGAGAGGAAAAATAATCAAAAGCAATGATGTTATCAGTTTCACAACTATTAAGGTAAAGAAAAAGTTCCAATGAACTCCATACTCAGTCAAATGTTCCTGATAGCCTATGGCTTTTATAATGACTAATCGTCCTATTCCTAGGAAGACTAATGGCCAAACAGAGTACAATGACTTTGTAAGATAATAAAATCTGGACTCTTCTGTGTATTTTTTCCTAACTTCTGGACAAACCATTGCAGTCCCAAAAATAAAACCTCCTACTCCAAAATCCATCGCTCCTGTCCCATAGAGCTCAGTTTTGGCAAATCTTCTGGGAAAAAGTGGAAAGTCCACAGCCAAAATGGCAATAGCAGTAAATGCACTGTTAATTACACGGAAACAAGAGATGGCTGGAATGTATTCAGATTCTAGACTGATTTTCAAGAATTTTTCAATCATTTTTTGGACAGGCATTCTGGCACAAGTTCTCCTGCAGTATATTTGATAGAACAGCCCTGCCCCACAGATAATTACAGCAAGGTGCTCAAGGAGGACAAATGAAGACAAAATGGTCAAAGTGGCCACCAGGGGAATTATTAGGGAAACAAAGTCAATGAAGAATCTAGTTCTCCAGGTATGTGAAGAACACAAGTGCTGTGAGAGAATGATCAGGAGCCCTCTGCACACGATACAGAGTGCAGGCAAACACAAGCCCTGGGTGACTTCCAGCACGCTGGTTCCATTGTGGTTACTGACAAAAGCTTCCTTCATCTGCTTCTGAGACATTTTTTTCCTTCTTCCTGTGAAAATGAGCAAAGGGATGCATTGGAAAAGCAAAGTTCTTGTGGAATTGACATATATATGAACCTTACTGGATTTTACCCTTATTCTTAGGTTTCAGAGCAGAACTTTAGGCTGTAATGATTTCAAATCAGAGCAGAAACTAGAATTTGTGATTTTCCTTCCAAAGATTGTGGGAAGAAACCTAACACTAACACATCAGGAAAAGAATGTCATACTACTAGTATGAAATTATTGGTTAAAAACCTTTAGCTATTCTCAGTATAAGGCAGACTCAAAAGGCAATTTCGGATATAACCCCTGAAAATGTTATCAGTCAGCTAGGAATTCCTATTACAAAGTATAGGATAAGTCATTAAGATTTTGTAATACAAATTGAATACACCTAACTAATGACTTCAAGTCAAAGCCAAGAGGGACAGGGAGAGAAGGCATTTAAGTACACCTTGGAGTACTTCGGTTTGTGTGAACAGCCTCTCTGAACCCATTGCCTCCAGTACAAAATACTAGTTCTCCAGTGACATCCAGAGCTCCAGGAGTCTCTCTACCTCATTTACATACTTTTTTTTTTTTTTTTTTTTTTTTTTTTAGAGCACGAGCAAGGGAGGGGAAGAGAGAGAAGGAGACAGGATCTGAAGCAGGCTCCACTCTGAGAGCAGAAAGCCCAATGTGGGGCTGGAACTCCCAAGCTGCGAGCTTACGACCTGAGTCGAAGTTGACTGCCCAACCGATAAAGCCACCTGGGCGCCCCTACAGCCAGTTTTAACCAGTTTTCAGGTTAAGGTGTAGATAGGTAGAATGGATGCTAATACTGGGGAAAGGGGCGAGGGCAGGGAGGCATGGGTGTATGGCACACACTAGTGTTAGTGGTTCAAAGGGATGTAAAACACCTTTCTGTCATGTATCAGTGTCTGAAAAGTGGCACACAGGAAGAAGTTTGTTGACTAAACCAGAACCATGTTGAACAAATGAATGCATACATGCCTGATGGTCTGAGCCAACAACAATATCTCACTGTAACAAACCGATACTAGTGGGGGCGCGCACCTGGGTGGCTCAGTCAGTTGAGCTCGGACTCGATTTCCAGGCCGGTCATGATCCCAGGGTGGTGGGATCGAGCCCTGTGGCTGGCTCCACTCTACCAGCTTGAGAGTCTCTCTGCCTTTGTCCCCCCACCCTCTCACGTGCACTTTCTCTTGCTTTCTCAAATTAAAAAATTTTTAAAAACTGGCCTTTAAAAATAAAGGAGTCCTTTCCCCGTCTGACACGGCTGTGGCGGCCCTTACACTTCACGTGCCTTCGGTGTCTCGGCGCCCTGGCAGTTTAGCCCTCTACGAGCCCCGCTGCCAGGCTCGCCCCGCTGCCAGGTTCCCACCGCTGCCAGGCTCCCACCGCAGCCGCACAGCCCCCTGGGAGCAACCCGCTTCCGCCTCCCGAGCCCGGCTTCCGGCCGACGTGGGGCGCCTGCGCTTCCGGGCGGGTGGATTCTGCGCGCGCGCCCCGCCCCCAGGACTGGAGCCAGTTTCCCGGCCCCGACGTCTCCCCATGCCTGTTCTTTCCGGTGGTGGGCTTGCTGCGTCCCGGTCCGTCAGAGGAGCCCCGAGCGGAGCAGGCGCGTCACGCGTCTCACCGCACCCTCTCGAACCGTTTGACGGGGCTCTGTCGGAGTGGTGGGGTCTGAGGCCCCGGCTCAGTGTTCAACCACGGCGTCCTCTACTGAAGGACCCCACGGCCCTGTGAGGCCCCGGAAGCCCTGCTTCTCCCGCCAGAACACGGGAGGCCTGCGGCTCATCCCCATCTTACCCCAGCTTCTCAAAATAGTTTGTCCCACCTGAAGCCCTAACTCAGACCCCGGCATCCCCAGCGGGCCACGTGCGCCCCGCGCCGCCGGTGCGCGCCCCGCCTCGGGGGAGGAGCCGGCCCGCTCCGGCCACTGTGTCAGAGCAGCAGCCAGCTCGTGCGCTCCGGCCGCCCAGGCTTCCTCTCCACCCCGGCTCGCTCCCGCCCTTTCCTCTTCCCTTTCATTCCCAGGCTCTTCCCGCCGCCTCTCCCGGCCCGCCCGCCTTCGCAGTCGGCTTCGCGGCTCAAGCCGTGGGACCGGTGAGTGTCACCCCCAGCCCAGATCCGAAGCGTTTTGCGACCCCGAAGGGGCAGGTTTGTCCATGGAGCGCTGAGGAACAGGGGGCGTCTTCCTCTCCTTTTTCCCATTTCCTTTTTGACCGTCTCTTATCCCAGGAGAGGGCAGCCCAGCTCCTGGCCCCTGCCAAGAACAAGAACCTTCCATGGTCACCCTCCACCTCTCCACCTTGTTGGCAGGAGGCAGCCCGAAGTAGGGGAAAGGTCTCAGCTGGTAGGCTGAGTCCCGGCTCCTGCCCCTCTCCTCGTCCTCCTAGGGACAGGGAAGGGGCGGCTGGTACCGGGAAGCGTCAAGGTAGCCGCGCCCTTGGCTAGGGTCACATCCACCTTCCTGGGAAGGACGTTCTCTCCCCGTGCCAGGTGCTTCCGGAGCGGCACCTCGTCCAGAGAGGAAGTCCTGGTTCCCGCCGTGAACCTGGGGATGGCCCCGCTTGGGTTCCCAGGACCCTCACCCAGATTTTCTCGTCTGCCCTCCCACTGCCCTCTAAGCCCAGGAGGAACCTGAGGCTGGGGAGGAGGAGCCTAGTGATCAGGTTGCTTCTTGCCTTGGTGTTTCATCTGTTCATTACCATCGCTGTTCTACCCACGGTGGTCACACCCTTTCCAGAAATTCTAGGCTGGTAACCGCGAAAACTGGAGAGAGCAAGAGCTGGGAGAACTGGAGAAAACCGCTCTCATCTGACTTGACTCTGGCTATGAACGAACGCTGCATCGTAATAAACAACTTTTGCAAAGCTTCTTCTGAGGTACTAGCCCATTTGATCCTTAACTCGGCATTTTGAGGTGTAGATATTAGTATTCCTTTTTGCCAACGAGTAAACGGAATAAGGTTTAGAGAGCTAGTGTGATCTGCCTTGCAGGAGTTGTGGTCTTTCGTTTCTAACTCCACAACCTATTATGCTCCCCCTTTGATCCTCTCTTAAAATGAGCTTCGAGTTGAGAGAGCTTTGTTCTCCTTGAGTCTTGGTTGGCCTCCTCATGGCTCTCTCTTGGACACCATATGGTTAGTGTCCAAGGTGAATGTGCCCAACACATTTCTGATGCCCTCTCTCCTTTTTCCAGTTTCCGTGAAGTCCTTATCCCTGAGTTCTTTCAAATGCTGGATGTATTCAGAGCCTCAAAAAAGCCTCTGCCAGGGTTAATTCATTACAGACACCCCTCATCCTCATCCCTTCTTGCTAGGGAGGTGTGAGATCTGGGAAATTCTGAGTCTGAGGGTCATTTACAATTTTTCAGAAATTGGCCTGGGTACAGCCTCACAACGCTACGTCTCTGAGACAGATTTTCCTCTGAAATCCTTGCCTTCTTAACGTTGACACTGGACTGTTCTACCTGATTAGTGTCCCCAAATGGATTATCTGTCTTGAGTAGTACTAACAATATTCCCCCTCTGAGTGAATATTCAGATTTGTACTCCCATGACATCAATGACCTTCACAACCCACCTGAAGTTTACCTTGTAAGGTAGATTTTACTATCCCCATTTTCAAGATGAGGGATCAAGGTGGGCCAGGAAGGTGATGTGGCTGTCCTATGAATGACTGAGCTGTGATTTTGCTCCCTTACAACAACTTTCCTAGAGGATCAGGAATTGACTCCAGCCTCCCTGCTCTATCAGTTACTGACTATACTAAAATAGGATGTGGAGAGGATAGGACATGAGACTTCTCTGTCTCCTAGTGTCTTCATCCTCCATGGCACACTGACTCAGAACATATGTAGCCCTACCTCAAACCCCTGTAGTAAAACTGGCCCTGAAGGAGCCCCGGGAGCCTCTCGAGGTTCTCATAAAAGTTTTCCCTGTTCCCTAATTGGCAGGGGATAGGACAGACTTTTCCTCTTTGCCCGGGCTTGCCCTGGTTCTCATTGCAGTTCCTCATGCTTGGTGCGAGGAGCAAGAGTGAGTCACTCTGGAGAAGCCCTTACCTGTGTGTGGCCCTTGTTTTCTCTCTCATGTCATAGGCTCTGGGGGTGACTCTTCTCAGATTCCTCTGGAACTAAGCCCTTTGCTGGACCCATGCTCCAGCCTGTGCCCCCATGACCAGGTGGATAGAACTCCTTGTGTCTATGACCCAGAACCCTGGCTGACCACATTGAAGCAGGATGCTCCAGCAGGTAAAACCTCACCTTTAGGTAACCTAGGCCCTGAAGCACCTAAGGCACCTTCCCATCTGTCACTTGGCTGAGTGAAATTTCCACTTGCCCTGACCTGGGAGGGAAAGATCCCTTAGAGGTTTTTTCTTCTTTTCTCTTTTCATGTAGTCACTCCAGTCACTTTTCATTTGTCATTGAGAATCTTTTCCTGATACCTAATTTGAATCTCCCTTATTATGGTCTTTAGCTCTTTTTCCTGGGAATGGTAAGATGGGATTGGTAGGGGAATCCTGAGGGCACTTTGATGATTTCATAAGCCTGAACCAGTGAGGGAGTCCTGAGAAATGTCCCTGCCAGCGTGAACTGTTGAGGTACAATGAAAGCCTGGGGCTTCCAAGAGGAGGTGTTCTTTGAAGCTGAACCTTAAAGAATATGTAGGAAGTAGACGGGGGAGAAGGGAAATAAGTAGTCCAGGCAAAGAGGTCAGCTTGTGCAAAAATGTGGGTGAAGATGTCTATGTGGAAATATAGAAGAATTCTGATGAATGGATCATGAGTGAGGGGTTGCTATTGTGACATGAAACCTGCCCTTACTCCAGGCCTCTGCCTCTTTAAAAAGGCTACTATGGCCTCAGCCTTGCAGGATTCCAAATCACCCATCTCCTATCCATATCATCCTTCCTATGCACCTCTCTGTCCAGAGAATGCCAGTAGATATTCGCTGAGTTTTTACAAAATGTTGCCAGGCACTGGGCTGAGGCAGATGTTTAAGGTGATACCTGCTCTCTAGGAGCTCACAGTCTAGTGGACTCCTAGGCAGGTGAGTGCCTGAGACTTAATCAGGATAACCAAGTGTGAAGCCAGGCAGCCTCAAGGGAGCCCTAATAGACACTACTACTTGATCATCTTCCAGAATTTTGTGTCATGAAATGGGCTTGAGACTGCAGAGAAGTCGGTGAGACAGTTGTCTGCTCTGGGCTTTTTCTGTTTGTTTTTAACTTTTTTTTTTTTTTTTTCTTATTAAGAAAGTAGTAATGGGGTGCCTGGGTAGCTCAGTTGGTTAAGCGTCCAGCTCTTGATTTTGGCTCAGCTCATGATCTCACAGTTTGTGGGATTAAGTCCCAGGTTGGGCTCTGTGTTGACAGCATTGGGATTCTCTATCCCTCTCTCTCTGCCCCTCGCCAGCTCTCGAGCATACTCTCTCTTTCAAAACATATAAACATTTTTGTTTTTTTTTAAAGCAGTAATGTTCATCACAACCATACTAGCAAGTTGCTCTGTGTTGAGCCCTTGCTATGTAGTGGATAGTATGCTAAGCATCTTACATGTATAATTTTGTTTAGTCCTCAAACAAGTTACAATGTTATATGTACAGTGCTACTGTATCCCCATTTTGGAGATAAGGCTCAGGTTAAGTGACTTATTCAAGGTCACATTCACTATAAGCGGTGTAGAAAATATAAGCAAAAAGAACATTAAATTTTAATTGGGGTGGCTGGGTGACTCAGTTGGTTAAGTGTCCAACTTCTGATTTCGGCTCAGGTCGTAATCTCATAGTTCATGGGTTCAAGCCCCGCATTGGGCTTCATTTCGCACTGACAGTGCAGAGCCTGCTTGGGAGTCTCTCTGTGCCCCTTCCCCACTCATGCATGCATGTGCTCTTGCTCTCTCGCTCTCTAAATAAACCTTAAGATTACCCATAATTTTACTACCCAGAGATAACATTTTAGAAAATATCCTGTATTTTTTCCCTAAATATATATATTTAAAACATCTGAAGCTATCATACTTTTTTGTAACCTATTTTACTTCATTGTAAGGATTTACTATAAATTGTCTACCATTTGGTCATTTGGGTTGTTTTCAGTTTGCTTTACAATTACAAATAGCTGAATATATACTGAATCTTCTTATGGCCTTTACATAGGACCGTTTTCTAAAAGCAGAATTGCAGGCTTAAGAGGCATGTGTAGTTTTTAGGCCTTGACATATTATTGCCTAATTAAAGAAGAGCTGCTTTTAAAAGAATAATAATAGCTAACTTTTGGGGCATATGCCAGGTGCCTTCTCTAAATCTTGATGTGCTTATTAGTGTCTGAGTTAGGTGCTACCACCATTCCCATTTTACAGATGAGGAAAATTGAGGGACAGAGAGATTAAGTAACTTACATAACATTGTACAACTAAGCAGTGGTAGAATCTGGATTCAAATCCAGGCAATCTAGCTTTCAGGTCCAGGCTCTTGACCATTATACTTAGCTACTTCCTTGGTTGGATCAGAGCTGATCATAAATGATGGCTCAGATTGTGATTTTTACCCGTCTAGAACAGAGGGATTTGCATGGATCCAGCCATGCTCTGACCTCAGCATTTATCCTGGAGGCCAAGAGGCCTGGAGGCCACAATCTACTTTGTGGATTATGGTGGGCCCAAATTCAGAAAACAGGCAATATCTTTGGAAGGAAACTTGTTGCTGGGCCTCTCAGATGACACTTGCCACCTTGGCTAGAGGGGGTTGAACTTTTAATGTTCACTAACCTCATTGGAAACCTACACAGGTCATATCATGTACTCCTTTCTCCAAAAGCAGATTTCAGCCAGGTGCTACTACCTTATATTCTCCACCCCATCTTTCCTGCAGTCTTCAGAGAGAGAGGAGGAGAAATGGGACCATGAGAGGAAAATGGAAAGAGAAAACATGTGGAAAGTGTAGGCGTAAAGGATGAGCAAGGGTGAAGGAGAAAGGGCCTTTTCCTCTTGGTACCTATTCTTTTTAAAATATTTTTTTTTTAACGTTTATTTCTTTTTGGGACAGAGAGAGACAGAGCATAACGGGGGAGGGGCAGAGAGAGAGGGAGACACAGAATCGGAAACAGGCTCCAGGCTCTGAGCCGTCAGCCCAGAGCCCGGCACGGGGCTCGAACTCACGGACCGCGAGATCGTGACCTGGCTGAAGTCGGACGCTCAACCGACTGCGCCACCCAGGCGCCCCTCTTGGTGCCTATTCTTAACCTCATCCAACTTCCAAGCCAGTCTCCCTCTCAAAAAGACCTAGGGCAGAGGAAACTAATTAAATAGCCAGGCTAAATTTAAGCCCCAAGAGCCAGGTGATGAAGGTGTGGGGCTGCCTCACAGCTGATTTTTTATCACAAGCTAAATGGTCTCTTTCAAAAAAGGCCCAAACCATGATTCCTTTTTTGTGTGTCCCCCTACAGCAGCCCCCAACCTTGGGCCCCACCCCTGCCAGGCCTAGTAAGGCTGGTAGCTGGCCAGCCTGAAAGCTGGAGCTCATCCAGAGGAGAGGGGATAGAATTTATTCATTTATTGAGTACACACTATGTGCCAGGCACTAAATGCTTTGTGTATCTCTTCTTTTTTTAAATTATTATTATTTTTAGAGAGAGTGTGCAAGCTGGGGAAAGGGGCAGAGGGAGAGAGAATCCCAAGCAGGCTCCACGCTGTCAGCGCAGATCCCAACGCACAATCCTGGGATCATGACCTGAGGCAAAATTAAGAGTTGGACGCTCAACTGACTGAGCCACCCAGGTGCCCCTATCTCTTCCTATTTTTCTGTCCAGTAGCCCTGTGAGTGAAGTGGTTTTATTTTCTTTTATTTACAAATGAAGAAGCTGTGGCTCAGTGAAGTTAAGTAGCTTACCCAGGTTCATAGGCTTAGTAAGTGGCAGACCTGAAATATGAACCCCAGCCAGCCTATGTTATTAGTGTCTGAGGTAGTAGAACTAGAAGCCTGTTCTCTTGCTGCTATATAGGCCCCTACCCCTACATTGCTGCCAGCTGGTCTCAGTCCCAGCTTTCATGGCCCTCTTCTCATGGCCTCTCAGGTTAATGGCCACAGGTCAGGCTCTGATGCCCAAGGAGGAAAATCCCTCAGAGAAGACCTACAGGAGCTCCTGGGCGGGGAGGCCCTGTTGCACGAGCTGGATGACCTCACCAAGGTGAATCCTGTGACGCTGGAGACAGGTATGGGCCTCCCTGTCCTTAAGAGTGCCATCTCTAAGGGGTGCCTGGCTGACTCAGTCAGTGGAGCATATGACTCTTGATGTCAAGCCCCATGTTGGGCGTAGAGATTACTTAAAAATAAAATCTTAAAAAAAAAAAAAAAGTGCTCTCTCCAAGAGGGTGGAGATGTGATGTGGGGATTCAGCCAGCTTCCCCTGGTCAGAACAAGGCAGACAGGACTCCTGACCTGGAGCCAAATGGGCTGCTCCAGACCTCTGTCTGGCAGCTGCACCCAGGCTCCCCAGGGCAGACTTTGCTCCGGATTTGGGTCTCATCTTAATTAGATCTTGGACCTATTCATCAGGGAGCTGCTGGGATCTAAAGGCACTTGGCTAATTGCAAAGGTAGCTCTGTTAGGCTAGTGTTTGTCTATGTTTGTATTTGAGCCACGGTTTGCTAAAGGTGCCTCTGCTTCAGTCCTGAGGTGTTTGCAGGCTCGGTACGCAGCGGACATGTTCTACACCAGTGCTGGCTGCACCTTGGTGGCTCTGAACCCCTTCAAGCCTGTCCCTCAGCTCTACTCACCAGCACTGATGAGAGAGTACCACGCTGCTCCTCAGCCCCAGGTAAGCCTCAGCCACTTCCTGGGCCTCAGGGCTCTGCCATGTCCCCCTGGGCCTCCTTATAGCATCTTCATCGTTATCCACCTATTCACCAGCCATGCAGTAGTTCAGAGTCTGCTGGTGCCATGGCCCTGCCCACCAGGAGATTGAATTTTGGACACGTGACAGTAGGTGCAAAGTGGGAGATAAATACTATAAATACTTGTTTAACTGAGTTTGGAACCTAAAATAAGGGTATGGGATAATAGATTTTTGTCTTATGTGTGACTTTATTAATAGGAAAGAATTTACAAAGGTATATTTGTGTATTTAATAAACCACATTTTTGAAAAGAAGAAAATTACATGTGATTAGGACTGCCCTAGAAAACTCTGCATGTGTTCCTCTTCGCTGAGAAAAATGAGAGGAGTAAATGCTGATGGGATGGAGGTGGTACAGGCAGGGAATTGGCTAGTTGGTGTTTAAGTGCATGATGTGTTCAGGGAGAGGCAAGAGCAAATGTGCTGGCAGGAGGGCTGCTGTCAAGGAGAGAAGTAGTAGATGAGATGGGAGATGAGATCAGAAGGGTCTGAAGCAGGCAGAGTGAATCTACAGTGCTTTGTCCCCAGGGACTGACTAGAGCTGGAGGAGTTAGGTTCAGGAAAGTAAAACAGGATATAGGGAGAACAGTTGGAAGCTTTTAACAGTTCAGGCAAGAGGTGGCAGGGGCAGGTGCAGAGGGATGGCACGGACACCATCCAGAATGGTGCCTTTTCCCTTCAGGAAGCTGTGGGTAGGTGGTAATTGCTAGGCGGGCAGTGGTGGGCTGGCTAGGCATCATGCAGATGGCATCACCCTCCTGAAGCTCGTGTGTGGTTAAGTGTCCAAGTGTGGTTAAGTGGACTCCTTGGGAAGTCTGCTCTGAGAGCCATATCTCACTGACTGACTCCTTCTTCAAAGGCAAAAGCCAAGTCATGGTTACCTATTTCCCCAGTGCCTGATTTAATGCCCAGCACATTGAGGATAATTAAATACCTGTTGATGGAAAGAACAGTGGCCTTGGAATTTAAATCACATGGTTGTACTTACTTGCTGAGAGACCTTGGAAAGGTTATTTAGCCCCTCCAAACCTCAGATTTCTCATTTATACAATAGGATTAGCTATGTAACTAATGCACAGATTTTTAAAAAAAATTTTTAATGCTTTTTTTCTTTTTGAGAGAGAGAGAGACAGAGAGAGAGAGAGAGAGATGAGTGCGATCAGGGGAGGGGCAGAGAAAGAGGGATACCCAGAATCCGAAGCAGGCTTCAGACTGAGCTGACAGCACAGGGCATGACGTGAGGCTGGAGCCCATGAATTGCAGGCTCGTGACCTGAGCTGGGGTTGGATGCTTAACCGACTGAGCCATCCAGGTGCCCCTAATGCATAGATTTTTTAGGCAGTAACTTGTAGGAAAATTCTTTGCATGCTACAAAGTACAATAACATAGAATAATAAATAGCAGAAAAAGACTGTTAAGATAAGATGGGAGGACAGAGTGTTAAGGTCATAGACTGGTCAAGGCCAGCACTGCTTCCAGTCTGAGAGAAGATGGGTAATTATAGCCAGCATAGGGGTCCCATAGTTTGGTCTAACACTGTTACAGCCAGGAAGTTTTTCTAGAGGAAGCCTCCTTGTACTGCTGTTGGCAGCCTCCCCATTTCAGCCATCATTGGATCAGCCACTATTTGGAGACAGTCATTCCCTCATGTGACCTTTTACTCCTTGATGTTCTAGAAACTGAGGCCTCACATCTTTGCTGTGGGTGAACAGACCTATAGGAATGTCCAGAGCCTGATCGAACCAGTCAACCAGTCTATCATTGTCAGCGGAGAGAGTGGTGCTGGAAAGGTAAGGAGGGCCTCTTTCCCACCCTCTCAATTTCGTGACTGGTGGGGGTGGTAGAAAGGAAGGAGTGGAGTTGTTTGCTGCCTAGTCCAGATAGGCAGATAGTCTGGCTCAAACAGAAAGTCACTGTGCAGCGGTGGGCAAGCACTGGGCAGGAAGTCAGGAGACAGGGTTCTAGTCCAGGCTCTTCCATGTAACCCTGGGTAAGATACTTTCTTTCTCAGTCTTCCTTTTCTTATCAAATGTCTCAGCCCTTGGGGTTCCTGGGTGTTTCAGTTGGTTATGCATCTGATTTCGGCTCAGGTTATGATCTCATGATTCGTGGGTCCAAGCCCCATGTTGGGCTCTGTGCTAATAGCTCAGAGCCTGGAACCTGCTTCAGATTCTGTGTCTCCCTCTCTCTCTCTCTCTCTGCCCCTCACCTGCTGGCACTCTGTCTCTCTCTCAAAAATAAATGTCGGGGCGCCTGGGTGGCGCAGTCGGTTAAGCGTCCGACTTCAGCCAGGTCATGATCTCACGGTCCGTGAGTTCGAGCCCCGCGTCGGGCTCTGGGCTGATGGCTCAGAGCCTGGAGCCTGTTTCCGATTCTGTGTCTCCCTCTCTCTCTGTCCCTCCCCCGTTCATGCTCTGTCTCTCTCTGTCCCAAAAATAAATAAACGTTGAAAAAAAAAATTAAAAAAAAAAAATAATAAATAAATGTTAAATTACAAAACAAAAAAAAAAGTCTCAGCTCTGGGGCACCTGGGTGGCTCATTTGGTTAAGCGTCTGCCTTTGGCTCAGGTCATGATCTCATGGTTTGTGAGTTCGAGCCCCACATTGGGCTCTCTGCTGTCCACACGGTGCCTGCTTTGGATTCTCTGTACCCCTCTCTCTCTGCCTCTCTCTCTCTCAAAAATAAATAAATAAAACTTCAAAAATGTTAAAAACAAAAAAAAGGTCTCCTCTCTGACACCATTGGAAACAGAGGTCAGCTATTGGGATTCCAGAATAGTGGTTAAGAGCACATTAGAAAGGAATTTAGCTTCTGCAAACCTCAGTTCTTTCACTTGTAAAATGATAAGGACAGGAGGACCAACACCTAACTCCTGGGACTCCATTGACAGTTAAATGAACAAGTGCACATAGGCACTTGGTGGCATGCTTGGCACATGGCAGAACTCCTCTAAAGTAGCTGGGGTGACTTGTGGGAAAGGGTTTATTGGAGGAGCCCACTTGCATCCTCGGGTCCCCCATGATGGCAAGGGCAGTGCATCAGGCCAGTTGTGGCGAAGGACAGAAGCATTTGATATGATCAACTGGCCCCCTAGGTGGCAGAACCACAAATGAGACAGAATGTTGCACGGGGATGGTTAAGGAGTTGCACAGCTGGTCAGAGGAGGCCAATGGGCCAGGCCTCACCACCTTCTTGCCAAGCCTCACCTAGCCACCCCACCCTTTCCACAATGCTTTTACCCTCACAAGAGATTCTTTTTTTTTTTTTTTTTTTTTTTTTTTTTTTTTTTTTAAGTTTATTTTTGAGATAGAAAGCATGAACATGAACGGGGGTGGGGCAGAGAGGGAAAGAGAATTCATGCTGTCAGTACAGAGCCCAACACAGGGCTTGATCCCATGAACTGTGAGATCATGACCTGAGCTGAAATCAAGTTGGATGCTTAACCAACTGAGCCACCCAAGCATCCCCACAAAGAATTCTTTAGAACATAAACTGCTTCTGCCTATACTCACATATGAGAGAATTGCTGAGTACTGAGTACCTGGCAGCTTCTAGGCCGTGGGCTAGCCACTGAAGAGTGGCAGGGGGAGGAAAGAGATGGAAAATGCAAAACATAGCTTTTAGAGGGCTCAGTCCACTGGGAAAGATAGGCAAGGAAACAGGTGAAGACAGTAAGCTGCAGGGAAGGCAGCTTGGACTTGGATGTGGAGAGGATCTTTAAGAGCTCCATCAAGGTAGCCAGTACAATAGCTCATACCCAGCTCCTAGAGAAAGCTCATTGTCCTCCAGAGCAATTGTGGGGCGCTGAGGCTGTACCTGGCCTGAAACCCATGCAACCAAAGTACTGTAGCCCTTTATTGAGCAGCCACTATGTTCATGTGCTGGGTCTGTATGTTTTTTTTCATTTCTTTTTAATAAGTAGTAGCATAGTTACATAGTTCAAAAATCAAGTGTACTGCAAGGCTTAACAAAGAAAAATAGCAACCCCACCCCATATCTCTCAAGACTATTCCCTCTCTCCAGAGGCAACTACTTTCACATCTTCTAGCAGTTTATTCGGGTGTTTGCATCTGTATTTCTAAACAATATGCTTATATTGTTAATTTTTCAGTTTTTGACCTTATCTGTTCACTTCCTACTATGATTAAGGTGCCTGGGTGGTTCAGTCGGTTATGTATCCAACTTTGGCTTGGGTCATGATCTCATGGTTTGTGGGATCGAGCCCCACATTGGGCTCTGTGCTGACAGCCTGGAGCCCGCTTCGGATTCTGTGTCTCCCTCTCTCTCTGCCCCTCCCCTGTTTATACACTCTCTCTCTCTCTCAAAAATAAATAAACATGAAAAGAATTAAAAAAAAAAAAAAGACAGCCCTATTTCTCTGCCCCCAAATACATAAGTAATTATGTCATGATTTTATTTTTAATGTTTATTTATGTTTGAGAGAGACAGAGACAGAGACTGTGTGTGAGCAGGGGAGGGGCAGAGAGAGACGGAGACAGAATCTGAAGCAGGCTCCAGGCTCTGAGCTGTCAGCACAGAGCCCAATGCGGGGCTCAACCCAGGAACCATGAGATCACCACCTGAGCCAAAGTTGGATGCTCAACCGACTGAGCCACCCAGGCGCCTCTCATGATTTTTAATTAATATGCAGTATTACAGCCATGTATGTATTGTTCACAGCAGAACCGTATAATATACTATCCTTTCTTATATAATTTTTACTTTCCCTCTACTTAATAATTGCCCTTTTTTTTCCACTTGTTTAGTTTCTGTATACCTATTATTATTACTAAACTTGTCACCAAAGCTGGACTCACCTGATGGCAAGTATATCAGGTGTTTTTTTTGTTTTTTTTTTTGTCATGGGGGTATTCTTTTGGAGCTCCCAGATCTCCCAGATCTCCTGCTCCGACCTGGACTGGTGGGAGGCCTGGACTGCCAAGGGCTGTTGCCATGCAATTACTACCTGGGAGCTTCTCTGCCTCACTCTGGGGATTCCCCAGTTGCCCTCTGTCCTATGACAAACCCCCTTGCTGGAACCCATGTCTTCAACTTCTTTAACAGCCTTGTTTTTATGGAGCACATTCTTTAGTAGCTTCCTGAAAAAAGTGTGTGGAGGGCAAATTTTTGAGTTGCACATCTGAAAATGTTTATTTTGCCTCAAACTTGATATGTTGGCTGGATTATATAATTCCAGGTTGGAAATCATTTTCTTTCCAAATGTATAAGGTTTTTTTCTTCTATATTTTTTGAGTGTTGTGATAGAGAGTCCCAGTCCATAATGGTGATTTGTTTTTTCTTTCTAAAAGCCTTTAGAATCTTCATTTTTATCCATAGGTGTTAAAAACTCAGTCTTTATCTTGGTATGGTTTTTGTTTTTTGTTTTTTGTTTTTCATTTATTGTGGTGGATATTTTGTGTGGGTCTTTTTAACCTGAAAACTCATGTTCTTTTCTTTGGGGAAATTTGTATTATGCTAATAATTTAATAATTTCCTCCCTCTGTTTTTTCTTTCTTTAACTTCTCTGTTAGTAGGAAGTTTGAGTAATTGTTTAATAGACTTATTTTTCTCACTTACTCTTCCATCTCTTAATATTTTGTTCTACCTTCTGGGAGCTATTCTCTACCTTACAGTTCATTTGAATTTTGCAATTGTGTTGAAAAAAGGTTAATTCTAACAGTTCTTTTTTTTTTTAAAAACCTTTTTTGTTTGTTTATTTTTGAGAGAGAGAGCTCACACTAGCACAAGTGGGGGAGGGGCAGTGAGAGAGGGCGACAGAATCTGAAGCAAGCTCCAGGCTCTGAGCTGTCAGTACAGAGCCGAATGCAGGACTCGAACTCACGAGCTATGAGATATGACCTGAGCCGAAGTCAGACGTTTAACTGACTGAGCCACCCAGGTGCCTCTTCCTTTATTTCTTAAAGGTGTCCTCTGGAACTAGAAGCAGCAGAAGTGAGCAACCCTCCCATTTCACAGATGGGTGAAGTGCCTTGTCCACGGACATAGTTAAATTCACTATTCCCCCATTTGGTCAGCAACATGTCTGGTGGAGAAGAGGGCTCTAGTGGGCACTATATCCTGAGGTCTGGTGGGAGGGAACATGGACTCGTCTCCCACAGGGTTGTTTCTGCTGCAGACATGGACATCCCGCTGCCTGATGAAGTTCTACGCTGTGGTGGCTGCCTCACCCACATCTTTGGAGAGTCACAAAATTGCAGAGAGAGTTGAACAGCGCATCTTAAACTCCAACCCTGTCATGGAAGCTTTTGGTGAGCTTGGTGTCCTGTGCATAGTACCTCGGTTCCATTTCTTCTGGGATTTGCCATCTCCCAGGGAGAAGGGTAGTGCTTTGAGAGGAGAGTGTATCACTCACTGCCTTGGACCCTCAACCTCCTTCCAGGTACCCTTGGCCTCCTTCCACTAGAGTCATCCCCTCCTCTAGCCTAGGTAGATGTAACAGTATGCTGGAGAGGACTTTGTGGCTCTCCTAGTTCAAATCCTGTTTTTATATACAGTTTCCTGATGCTTCAGGGAAGAAGGGGACTTGTCTAAGAATGCTCATCAGTTATTGTCCATGTTGGGACTCGAGCCTAGATGTGTCAGGCTGGGCCTACAGCTGCCCAGATGTAGGGTGGAGATAGGTTTGTTGTACCTAGATGTTACCTAACTCAGTAGTGACAGCTTGTTGATTTTGGTCCTTTCCCTTCAAAGAAGACAGTCCCCGACCACTGAGATTTGCTCATTCTAGTTCATTGCTAGGAAGTTCTAACTCTCCTGAAACACACTTGCTGAAGCCTGAGTGCCCATTCTCTAGTCCAGTCCCCTGTGACCTGGAAACCCACAAAGGGGCCTTCAGGTGACTTGCAGGTAGAGATGGCCCCCACCTTGGCCCATGAGGACCCTATAAACGTGGGGGAGTGTTATAAACATAGGTGTGATCTGTAGGGAATGCGTGCACACTGAGGAATAACAACAGCAGTCGCTTTGGGAAGTTCATCCAGCTACAGCTGAACAGGTAATGGCTGCTGCCACTCTGGCTGACGGGAGGACTGGGGTGGGGAGTTTGCAAGTGACGGGGGCAGTCTCCAGCCTGGGCTACCCTTATGGGCAGAACCCTGCTCCTCTTGGCATGTAATGTTTGTGGGCTAAATGAGCCTGAGGGTGATCTTTGAACCTAGAGACTTCTAGCTACTCCAGCCTCAGGGACCCAGAGGCAGTATTCTTGTCATGGCCTGTGAGTTCCTCCCGGCTTCACCCTTGCTCGGGGGCTTTGAGTTAAACTACCACCTTTCTGGACTATACCCCTACACTTGAAACTGGGGCTTCTGTTCTTGGTTTGGGATGGGACAAAATGACATATAGAGGGCTTGGTCCTGTCCACTGAGCTGGTCGCAGGGGAAAGTTCCAGAACAGCTAAGGACCTGCTGAGTGGTCCTTGTCCTCAACACCCACTTTAAGTGAAAGAGCTTTGGGGGGAGTGGCTAGATTGCATTCTGGGACAAGATAGTACCTAATAAATGGCTATGGAATGAACAGACCACTAATGGGCTCTGGCCTGCTTATGCCCAGTGCCCAGCAGATGACTGGAGCTGCAGTCCAGACGTACCTCCTAGAGAAAACTCGAGTGACCTGCCAGGCCTCCAGTGAGAGGAACTTCCACATCTTCTACCAGGTTTGTGTCAGGCTGGGCCCATAGCTGCCCAGATGTAGAGTGGAGATGGGTCTGAGTGTCCAAACCCTCCCCTCCACCCCCACTATGCTCCAGGCCTGCCTCATTACCTGGCTTTCAGTGATGCCGCCCCTTATTCCTGGAAGTTTTATGCAACACTTCTGCCTCACGTTGGACCTCCATTCCCAGGATGGTTTTGACATGGAGATGCATTTGCTTTCTCTGTCAGACCAAAAGGTCCTTGAGACTGGGACTGTGTCACCCTCACCAAACTGAGGACTCCTAGAATGGCAACTAACTGTTTCCAACAGAATGAGGGCTTCCCTAGAACTGTGTCTGATGTGTCTTCCATCAGACTGGGGGTTCCCTAGAACATGGACAGTACCTCTCCCTGCTCTCAGATGGGGACTGGGGGCTCTCTAGACAGGAGTGCTTTCCTCATCAGACCACAGGCCTCAGCAGGCTTTTTTGCATCAGAGATACTTAGAATATTTACTGCGGCTTTTGCCCCTGGGCCTGCCCTGGGCTCTGTGTAATGTCGAAGCATTTCTCCTCATCACAACCCCAGGCTTATGCAGGCCTGGTCTTCCTCACACCCCCACCTCAGCCACCCTCCCACCCCTCCCCACAGATCTGTAAAGGAGCCAGCGTGGATGAGAGGCTCCAGTGGCACCTCCCCGAGGGAGCATCCTTCTCTTGGCTACCTAACCCAGAGAGAACCTTGGAAGGTAGGGGGAGTCTTGCCTAGCACCCTGGGCTAGCCCATCAGTACCCACTCACATTCTGCATAGGGCCTGCCTTCTTCACTCCTTGAAGCCCCTGTTGACCTCGGGTGCTGACACTGGGCTGTGATTTGGATTCTTTTTCAGAGGATTGTTTCCAGGTGACCAGAGAGGCCATGCTTCATTTGGGCATTGACATCCCCACTCAGAACAACATCTTTCAGGTGAGAAGAAAAGGCATACCTCTTACGTTTGGTAGATGTGATGGATGGGCAGCCCCTTTCATAGGCCCCTTCTCTGAACTCTGAGGATCTAGGACTTTAGGCCCCACTGTGTAATTTCTAAGGAGTCAACTATCCTCTGTGCACCTGAGCCTGGACAGGGAGTCAGGGTGGACAGAGCATAGAGGACAGTGATCAAGTGCACAGTACTGTATTATAAAATCTAGCACAGTGGCCCGGGGGACAGGACGAGGTGCCTGGGTCAGTTATCACTGCAGTGATCAAAATAGAGAAGTGATGCCACCACATGTTCATCCAGTGTATTCAGATTTTAAAATCATCCTCATACCTCTTAGTTATTTGGTTTTTTTAACAGTCCTGTGTATATGGAGATTTTTCCCATTTTGTGCTTGAGAAAACTAGAGAGGTAAAGTAACCTCCCCAAGGTCAGACATCACCATAGGGCAGTTTGTACCAGGTGTAGTAATTCTGACTTCTGCTTTCTTTCCCTCCTCTTGGATGGAGTGCTGACCCATGTGACCTGGGCGCCTCTCATCCCACTAGTGGCCTCTCTTCTCCCTTCTGTCTTTGCTGACTGGGCTCACTACCTCCCTCTGCCATCACCTCCTCACCCACCAGAGCAACAGGAGGGGGATACATAGGATAGGCTGGCAGCAGATACGGAGAAACCCCTGCAGGGAGATGGCAGTACAGTGGAAACTGACCTCTACCTCTGGATTGGGGCTGCTCAGGCAGGGAGGGGATCATGGCCAGTATGGGCACCATCAGGTTTGGCCACAGGGACAGCACATGGGAACAAGCCCAGGACAAGTGGACAACACCAGGGGTCTGGACAGGAGTGTTGGCTTGACAGTATCATGACCCTCTACCCATTGGGCACAGCAGTCTTCTTCCAAGGTAGATTGTGGCCTGAAAGCTGGTATCATGTGGAGATACCCTGCCTGGGACCAGACAGGCATGGTAGGAGAGGCTCTGCTCTCCCCATAAGAGTCTAAGGGTTCCCCAGCTGCTGGACATATGAGTCTCCTCTCTATAGCCCCTGGACACTCATCCTTATGGATCAGTGAGTGTACAGGCAAGGGAGCACCCACTATTAGGAGACCAAGATCACAGATCCTATCCTGGACTGTGCTGTCAGCTGCCTAGCAGTGCTGAGAAAGGACCAAAGGGAACCAGGGCCAAACCCCCACCAGCCACACAGAAAGAGCCTGGTCCACAAGTAACAGGAGTGGTGTTCTCACAGTTTGCTCCTGGAGGAGGGGAGGCACAAGGACAGACAGTGGGTGACATAGGAGCCCACTGGCTGCCCTGGGAGACATCTGAAGTCAGACTACATGGATTCTCATCCTGCCTTTCTCTTTTACCACGTCTGTTGCCTATAGGCTTGTGATTTAAAGATTTTATTTTTTTAAGTAATCTCTACACTCACCGTGGGGCTTGAATTTACAACCCCAAGATTAAGAGGCACATGCTCCTCTGAGCCAGCCAGAAATCCCTATACGTTTGTAATTTAACATTTCCCTGTGTCATTTCTGTCATGGGCATCAATTGGGAGTTTCTGTTACTATTTTGTCCTCATGATTATATTCATCAGGAGAGGGGCCTCTCCCAGGCTAGGCTTCAGCCCTTGAGAAGGTGCTCCTGTCATGTCGTCTCCTGTCTGCTCAGGTCCTGGCTGGACTGCTGCACCTCGGAAACATCTGGTTTGCTGACTCTAAGGATGAAGCCCAGTCCTGCCAGCTGATGGACGATGCCAAGTGTGAGAACAAGGATGGGGGTCTGTGTATCAGCTTTGGTCACACACCCGGGGAGCAGGGTATGCCCTGTCTGGAAAAGGGCCAACACTGGTGGGACCTGGTGGGAGGCCAGAGGGTGAAATTTGGAATGTGAGGATGCCCTTGATGAAACCATGGGTGTTACTACTTACCCCATCTCTGGTGAGGCAAACAGCCTCATCTCTGTTTTACAGGTGAGAAAACAAGAGAGGGTTTATAAAGTGATTTGCCCCACATATGGCAGTGTGGACCGGGACATATAAGTCCTGGGTTCAAGTCCAGTCTCTGCTTTGGGCAAGTCTCCTCATGCACCAGAACCTAGGTTTATTCTGTCCAGTTGGGTGACTTCACAATGTCTTGTAAAGAGGCCTTTTTGGATGGAGGGTGATTTGTCCCTCTCAGGCTCTATCAGGACATCAGCCTCACTGCTGCAGCTTCCAGAAGACCCACTGCTGGAGACACTGCAGATTAGAACCATCAGGGCAGGCAGGCAGCAGCAGGTATTCCAGAAGCCCTGCTCCCGAGCCGAGTGTGACACTCGCAGAGACTGTCTGGCCAAACTAGTCTACGCACGGTAAGCACTCTGGGCCCTGCCCTCCTTCCAAGTTCTCCCCCTCTCTGGAGTTGGATCAGACACCATCATGCAATAGGCCCATGGTGAGGGCTTCCAGATAAAGCATATGAATGGACAGCAGGGAATGAATGGCTTCTGGGTTTTCCCCAGGCATGGCCTTTGACCTTAATTCCAGAGTACTCTGCATGGGGAAGTTGCCACATTCTGGGCTAGATTCAGCTCATTAATAAAGTATAGGAGCCTGCCCTGCCCTTGGCCATGGGTGAGGAAAGCCTGCTTAGGTCTTCACGGGCACATCAGGCCTCCAAGCTGATCTGGGGTTCTCAGAGTTCCAGGTTTAGACCTGTGGGTGAATAGGGTCCTCAATCTCCACGTGACCTTATACTTCATCTCTTCATGTCACCTGGGGAAATTGATAGATGGTAGGGCCAGTAGTGTGGCCCACAGTCTCAGACAACACAGTGTGCAGCAAATGGGAGTCCACGACAGGGTGAAGGTGGGGGTCCTGGCCTTTTCCTGGTGGGTTATTTGAGCAGCTCCACATTCTGGCCATGTGGTTAAGGGTGGTTTCTCACCCTGGGTTCTAAGTAAGGGAGCCTTGGGTACCAAGTAAGGAGTCAGGGGACCCAGAATCCTCTAGAACCATGGGTCAGAACACGTGTGTATGTGTATGTGTGTGTGTGTGTGTGTGCGTGCGCGTGTGCATGCGTGTGTGCTCATGGGAACCTGGGCACCTGGGGAGAGGGTCCTCCCCATGTTCATGAACTTGAAGAGTCAAGAGCTTGAGAAGCATTACTGAGGGAATATCTGCTGAGTTGAACATTGCCTAGGGCAGCTTGGCTCAGACGGATCCCAATTCAGGAAGAGACTCTTTTCCCATTGCCTTGAAGCTAATTTCATGCCAAAGACTTTTAAAGCCTGTGTCAAGTCACTGTAAAATCGGTAAAATAAAATATGATGATCATAGATCGTGTGAACCTCTAACCATAGAGCACTTCATACATAATAAACATCAGATCATTGTAACACTAGGTCACTTGTTTTCAGTGCCTCAGACAGGTATTTGGAGCCCCTGGTACAAAAGCAGAAACGCTTAACTGACTGAATTGCAATAAACTGCAGAGCAGTCACTTTAAGAAAAATCGTAAGAAAGAAATTCCTTAATAGTATTGTACATGTCACCAGCATAGTAACTGCCTCACCGTCTCAGGGTGGGGTGCTCCAGAGTGCAGAGTACCCCTTGGCCTCAGGTGCCTCAGGTGACTCGGGGCCTGCTTATGCAGGACTAAGGAATGTGGCAGGGTCTTGAGCTCTAGGTGCCACAGGTCCAGTTTTCAGGGGTGTCCAGTGAATTCAGTTCTTTGCAAACTCCACCTAGGCCTTCCCGTTCACCCCTTCCCTTCCAGTTAAGACACTAGCTGGGTGTCCGGCCAAGTGACTGATGGAGTCCCATTCCCTGTCTAGCCCCAGAGTCTACCGGTCGTGTGTTCAGTCTTGTTGGGAGGACAGGCCGGGTTGTGCATCCTAGGAACATGCATGACCACAAGCCTGCATTCGTAGTGGGGCAAAATGGGATGGGCAGCAAATGGGAGGAAAGGGTTTGATCCTTTGGCCTGTCTGGCTGGGAATACAGGCCCTTCAGAGTATGGCACCCTGGCTGGAGGAGCAGTTTTGCTATCCCTCAGGCTTACCTGACCTCTCACCAGAGTCCTCTCTCCCTCCACCCCCACCCCAACAGGCTGTTTGACTGGCTGGTATCCGTGATCAATAGCAGCATCTGTGCAGACCCTGACTCCTGGACCACTTTCATAGGTAGCAGGGGCTCACCCTTTCAGGAGCACTCCTTCGAAAAAACAGTCCAGTCCAGTGTGCAACTCCAGGCAGCTCTTTTCCCTTCTCTGCACCCCCATCTCCTCATTGTCCACCAGTGTCTGGGCAAGGGTGTCTCTGTGTTCTCGGTGCCCACATCTGAGCCATCTGTAGCTCTCCAGGCAGACTCAGATGGTGTTTTGTCTGTGAGGGCCCCTCCTCTCCCCTGAAACAGCTCCAGCCTCAGGAGAACTGTGAGGGGATAGGCACAATGGCTAGATTAGAAGGGATTTTGGGGGACATGGTAACATGGTTGGAACTGGGGTGGGGTAGTCAGGTGGAGGAGGAAGTAAAGCTCAAAGATGTGAGGTTTGCTCAAGAGACAGTGGAATTCTAGATACCAACAGGGCTGGTGAGATCAAAGCCCTCTAAATTGGATTGGACACGAAATGTTCCCTAGGCTGCCCCTCACACCTTATTCAGCCTTTCTTCCTGCTTTGAATTCTGAGGGGCCATGAAGTGGAGATGCGACCCACCCCAGGGCATTGTGTTTACTGTGCCCACTGCTGGGTGTCCTGCTCATTCAACCTCTCCAGGGTACCAAGTATGAGGTTTCACCCTGGACTCCTGTAGTACCCCTGCCCCTGCTCCCTGCAGTGGCCCCATGGGTTCTGCCCCATCCTCTCAGGCCTGCTGGATGTATATGGATTTGAATCATTTCCCAATAACAGTCTGGAACAGTTGTGCATCAACTATGCCAACGAGAAGCTACAACAGCACTTTGTGGCTCACTACCTGAGGGCTCAGCAGGTGAGAAGTGGAGTGCTCCTTCCAGGGTCTGACCCAGAGCCTTTAGTTCCTTATTTGATGCTGTTCTGGAATATCCTGTGGTACTGAGGCCAGCCATGGATGACCTATCTGGGCCTCAGATCACAGATGCTTTCTCCTGCCACCCAACTGCCACCTTTGGTCCCCTAGGAGGAATATGCAGTTGAGGGCCTGGACTGGTCCTTTGTCAACTACCAGGACAACCAGGCCTGTTTGGATCTCATTGAGGGAAGCCCCATCAGTATCTGCTCCCTCATAAATGAGGTAGGGTCAACTAGTATGCTAAGCACCAGAGTTGGTCTCTGGGCTTTTCTGGGGCCTCAGAGACCATACTAGGCCCTCTCTGTGTCTCTCTCTTCCCATCTGCCAAATGGGTTTGCTAATCCCTATGTTCCTTCCCTCTCAGGGTCACTATGATGCCTATGTGACAGCTATGCTGCTGGTGGGGGGCGGGGGGGATCCATGATGGTTGTGGCGAGCCTGTCTCATATTTGTGGCTGAGTGTCCATTGCATCCCATGCAGGAATGCCGCCTTAATCGGCCAAGCAGTGCAGCCCAGCTCCAGACACGCATCGAGAGTGCCCTGGCAGGCAGTCCCTGCCTGGGCCACAACAAGCTCAGCCGGGAGCCCAGCTTCATTGTGGTACATTATGCAGGGCCTGTGCAGTACCACACGGCAGGTCTGGTGGAGAAGAACAAGGTGGGGGCTGGGCCACGGCCTGTGGGGGCCTGCGTGAAATGAGGTGTTGAGTCATTGCTGCATATACATGGAAGATTCTTGTCTTGCATTCTCTCTCTCCTGAATATCCTCCCAGAATCCAAGTCACCTCTTTGGCCTACCTGCCTGACATCTCTGCTAATCAGGCATAAGCTGCCCAGAAATGACCCATGTCACAGTGGGTCTCCCGTAGAATCCCTTCTTCTGGGGCTTGGGTGAGCAGGGCTGGCAAACCTGGGGACAACCCTGGTAGCACTCCACCTGCCCTTACCTGCTGTCCTTGTCCTTTCCTAATAGGACCCTGTCCCCCCTGAGCTGACCAGGCTCCTACAGCAATCCCAGGACCCCCTACTCAAGGTGCTATTTCCTATGGACCCTGAAGAGAAGTCCCAGGAAGAGCCCTCTGGCCAGAGCAGAGCCCCTGTTTTGACTGTGGTGTCCAAGTTCAAGGTGGGTCCTGGGGGTGCTGATAGAATGTGCTTGATTCACTCATCAATCTCAAATATTTACCAAGCACCTCCCAGGATTGGTGGTTTGCTGGGGAACGTTGACAAGTGAGTAGACATGGTCCTAGTCTGCACGGAGTTGGTAGCCTCATGAGGAAGACCAAAACAGAAAACCAACAAATAGACATAACTGACATGACAGGAAGCCTAGGGGCTTAATGGGTGGCACAGTGGGCCTCTCACCCACGGCCGATAGGGTGGTCATGGAGGAACAATAGTTACATGAACCTCTGTGTTCCAGTCCATTCCTAGCTCTCCAGCTTCCTGCTCAAGCCCTGTCCTTGGCTTGCAGATTTGTCAACCTCCTCCAGCACCTTATGCTTTCTGCCCTCAACCCTTGACATTCTGCTCCACCTTCCTGGGATGCCCCTCCCTTGCCTGTACCACTCCCCACCCCATCCCCAGCCCCATCCCAGACTCCCACCCTCCACACCTCCTGTCTTAGTTGATTCCTTCTAGTCCTTCAAATTTCAGCCTAATCATTACCTCCTAGTGGAACCACTTGGTGGAGCCCAGGTTTGGTTAGCTTTTTCCTGCCTAGCCTCAGACACGCTACTGAGGGGGTGCACAACACACATTCGTGTGACCCCATCAGACCCTGGGCTCTGAGCAGCAGACTATGTCTGGGCTTAATGAGAACAATTGTTGCCTGAATGAATGGCTTCTGAGATTGTTCTCTTCCAGGAAGATTGTTCTGGTGAGCTGGGTGGGGGTGGGGGGAGGTGTGGGGAGTGGAGACCAACCAGGTACAGATCACAGGTCAGGAAGGTCCCTAGAAGTGGAGGTGACGGGCATTGGGAGCTCAGGCAAGGAGGGCGCATGGACTCAATGAGCACCTCCCATAATCATCCCAGGGCCTGGGAGGATATCCGTCTCAGGGCTGTGAAGACTGCCAGGGGATGTTTGATGCAGTCACTAACCAGGGCCCCACTGATGCCCACAGGCAGCCTCAATCTGTCTGGCTCCTCATTCTCCCCGCTGCAGGCCTCCCTGGAGCAGCTTCTGCAGGTTCTGCATAGCACCACGCCCCACTACATTCGCTGCATCAAGCCCAACAGCCAGGGCCAGGCGCACACCTTTCTTCAGGAGGAGGTAATTCACTGGGCCAGAGCTGCTTTGTAGGGAGCCCTATCTGGCCAAGGCCCTGAAGGGACGAAAGGCAGAACTTCGGCTCCAAGTGGAGTGACCAGAGCGAGTCTCTTGGGTTGAGTTTGACACTAGGGCATCTTGCGCCCCTGCTTTGGCAGGACAGTCATGTATGTTCTTCTGGTCTGTGCATGGCACAGTGAGCTAGCCAGGAAGCCTCCACTGCATCTTACATTCTGCTCACCAGTCCATGTGCCCTGATGAGACTGAAGCTGCCCGGAGGATTGGGTGATTAGCTGAAGGGTCTGAATCATCTTGCAGTCTGTGGCCACTTCTGACCAGAGGTAGAGTTTTTTTCTAATTTGCACAAAAGTTGATGGCCAGCAGCTGCCCTTTGTTCAGGGTACTGGGCTCTGATGGGGATGAGGCATGAGTGCTGGATGCTGGACAGTGTCCCACAGTCAACTGGCCTTAGGGTTTACGGCCAGGATTTCTCCACTAAGGTCCCAATTAATCTTTACAATTTAACCTCTCTTGCTCCTCAGCTATGATTTACCCCACTGCCCACAAAATATAAAAATAAATAAACAAATTGGGTTAGGCTGCATCATAAGGCAGAGTCTCTGCACAGCTGGGAGTGGTGAGACAGAAGTAGGACCAGCACTTACCTCCACAGTATCAGAAGCAGGAGAGTATACCCTCATCAGTCAAGCATGAGGACAGCCTGCAGGTTCACACGGACCAGAGCCTCAGAGGGCAGAAGGAGTGGTATTTCTGGTCTGCTGGTCCCACACCACAGGTGCCCACCCTGTCTCCTCACCAATGCAGGTCCTCAGTCAGCTGGAGGCCTGTGGCCTTGTGGAGACCATTCACATCAGTGCCGCTGGCTTCCCCATCCGGTAAGTGGGCCAGGCCCCACAGTGGGCAGGGCCAGTGTTGGGGTGGAGCTTGGGACTCTGGCGTGACAAGACCTGCCCAGCCCAGAGCAGGATGTGGAGGTGAAGAGAAAGAGGCAGGTCTGCAGAAGTCAACCTGGAACTCAAGAGATTTCACTTGTTCATTTATCCATTCCCTTTCTGTGTACTGTTTTGCACCAGGCACTGTTGCTAGCATCAGTGAATAAGGAAGGTGAGCCTCTGCCTCTTGGGGCTTACATTCCTGTGGAGTCAAGAACAAGAAGTATTAAGTTAATCAGTGCTAGGAAAGAGACAAAGTGCTGCTAGGTAGACTAATGGGGAAGAGGATCTTTGGGCTGGTTGGGGATGGACCCCTCTAAGCAGCTCAGGCCTCTGGGGAGGGAAGGGGCCAACCTGGGAAGATTTGGGGGAGGAAACAGCAAGCACAAAGCTCCAGCTTAGGAACCGAGATGCCAAAGTGCCTGCACATAGAGAAATGGGGGGAGAGGGGCCTCAGAAGTCCCATGAGGACTTGGCAGTTTTTCCAGAGGGCTGGGAAGCTGCTGGACATTGTGAGGAGAGAGTGCTGTGCTCTCATTCATGTTCTGTGGCTACCGTGTGGATGTTGGACACAGGGTCAGAAGAGAAGGGAGAAGATGCGTGAGGAGGCTATTGCGCAGGTGTATAGGCAAGATGGTGGCCACAAGAGGGTGGCAACCATGAAAAGTGGAGAGACATGGGTTAAATTGGACTGTGGTTTGTGATAGAATCAGGACTGTAGGGTGATTGATCATGGGATGTGGGCAGGGGAGCAGTCAGCTTCTAGGTTGCACACATAACTCCCAGGCTTCTATCTGAGGCAAGTGGATGAATCAGGAAATCCTGTCCCTGAGATAGGATGTCTGGGGAAGGCACAGGCTGGAGGTGGGATAGGAGGGGAGTCAGGAATGTGGCCTTGTCAGGTTTGCAGTGGTTATAAGACAGGCTTGGGGCCCAGAGCTTTAGGAACTGGAGGGTACATGAGGATCTGTCCTTGGTGGGTTGTAACACCATGAGCAAGGAGGAAATCACAGTGGGGAGAGAAGAGGGGTCTGAAGCCATTCGCTGAGCAACATTCACATTTAGAGAGTGGGTAGGTAGATGACGAGAAACCAGCACCAGCAACTTGGGAGTTGTGGGTGAAGGAGGAAGCCAAGCTCACAGGGGTCCTGGGGGCTGAGAGAGCTGTATGGGGACAGGGGTCAGCCAGGCACCTGCCAGAGCCAGTTGCTGGATTTGGTGGCATGGTGTTTGCTGATGGCTGCAACAAGAGCCACACTGGAACAGTGTTGGGGACAGAAGCCAGACTCGGGAGGAGGAGGTATAAATACATACAGGGTGTCATCGGCTGTTTAAGTGTTGAGGTGAAGGGGAGCAGAAAAATCAGGAGGAAGCAGGGGATGCTGTGGAGTCAGAGAAGCAACAGATGTGGCTGACTGTATGAGTGATCCAGTTGGGGAGGAGCCAGCAAGCCCGTTTGGAAGGAGGCAGGCCAAAAATCCCCTACTAAAAGAGTGAGAAGCTTTGTTTAGGTAGACCAAGGCTGTAGAAGAGCAGGTCCAGTTTAAAATGGTCTCCACTGTGTAGTCTCTCCACAACCACAACCTCATCCATTCAGTGGGCAGTCATGGTAGCACCTCACTCGGTTGTTGAGTAGATTAAATAGAGTAACTCCCATTAGCCCCAAGTGCTGTCCCAGGCTCACAGCTGTCACTTCATTGTTTTCTTCTGCCTGCTCTGGCTTCTAGAATCCCTCACCAGAACTTCGTGGAACGATATGAATTACTGAGAAGGCTCTGTACTCGCACATCCCCTGGATCCCATAGCCCATCTCCTGATGAAAGACATTCAGGTGAGTGGGGCCCATTTGCTAGTCATTTGTTCAAGCACAGTTTACGGAGCACCTGTCCTGGGCCATCTCAGGGCTAGGGGGTTGGACATTCAGAGAGGAGTAAAACACAGCCCTGTCCTCGAGGTTCTTGGTTCACTGGGGGAAACAGACTAAAAGAAGACAGTGGAGAAAGATGATAGGCAGAGCTAGGAACAGAATGCTGTGGGTAGTGCTGGGGAGGTATGAATCAGGGAAGGCTTCCTGGAGGAAGTGGTGTTTGAAGACCAGTGGTATTAGTCAAGTGAAGGGCATTCCACGGGACAGGTAGTTGAACAGAGGCCTGCAGGCAGGAGACAACACTGTGTGTGTAGAACTTGTAAAGGCAGAGAACAGTTGGAGGTGAGACTGGGGTAACAGGCAGGCCATGTCACAGGAGCAGAGCTCTCTTCTCTGGGCAGATGAGGACATCTCAGAGGAGGAAGGGAGTGATGTCAGCCATATGCTTTCTGGAGACCACTGTTAGGGGGCCCATGGCAGGCCTTGGGAGTGAGGTTGTTAGGTTGACTAGAGTTGAGAGAAGGTAGAGAGGCTTGGGGGTAGCTGCTGAGCTCTGCAGGACTGACTTGAGCTCCAGGTCCCTACAGTCATCCAGTGGAAATGTCTGCCAGGCACTCAGCAAGCCCTAAAATCAAAGGAAAGGTCTGGACCTTGGCCCCAGTTTGGGGGTTGTCAGCATGTAGGGTAAGACCCTGGCATAGGTGGAGGAGGAAGAGGCCAAGGACAGAGTATGAGACCAATGCCCAGTAGGACCCTAGCCCAGCAGCATCTGCTTGCACCCACACAGCCTTACCTTGGGGCTTGTCAGGCCTGGGACAGTCCTGATTTCCTTCCTCTCCTGGGCTTAGTTTTATCACTTTCCTTTCATTCTTTTTCTCCACCTCTTTCCTTCTCTCATGATTTGCTCTACTGCTCTGTGTCTTGTGCCCAAAGCCCCATTCGCCCCTGGTTGATTTTGGGATTTCTCGTCTGCGGCATCTTCTTTGGCAGCCTCTGTCTCCAGAGAGGCACTGGGCAGCAAAAGGTGGTCAGAGCCCTCAGGTAAATCCTCCTTCTGCAAGAGCCAGCTATGCACAATGTGACATGGGGACCTGCTGGGCCTCCCTGGGACTGGGAGGTGTTCTCCCTTTTCCCATACATGGCAGGGAGTTAAGGGGTGAGGGGCTTAGGGAGTGGTCCACCTGCCCTGCTTGGCCCTCGGCATATTTGGGGCCTTGGAACAGATGCTGGCTGGTTGGAGGCTGAAATCCAGGCACCAGCTGCCCTTTGCCAGCTTGCCTGGGGGACCCACAGAAATGGAGGCTGTGGGCCAGCCACAAGTGGGGTTTCCGGTATTCCTCAGAATAGCCAGGGGCCTGAAGAACAACAGAGGGGTCACCTCTGCCCCCCAAAAAAATGGAAGTGGTTAGAGGCAAGAACAGCAGCAAAGAAGCCTATGGAGTATGGGGGGAGACCAGAACCAGTTTCTTAAGTCCACAGAAGCGTGTAGATGACCAAGAGCTGATGAGACCTCTGTCTCCCATCCCATAGAATGGTCTCCACATACCAAGGGAGCCACACTGCAACCTCTTCTCCAGGACATCCTCCATACTCTTCCAGCTCTAACTCAGGCAGCAGCCACACCTGGTGACGCAGCCAAGGCCACACCAGTCCCAGTGCATTGTGGCAGGACCAAAGTGTTTATGACTGACTCCATGGTAAGCTGGTTTGTGATGAGGAGGGTAGTTCACTAGCTGCGTGCTCTGCTTAGCAGGACAGAGTGTGGGTTCACCTCAGGGCAGTGGGAGGAGAGGCTGCAGACTTCAGTGGATACCCCTCCTCTCAGTTGGAGCTTCTGGAATGTGGGCGTGCCCAGGTGCTAGAGCAGTGTGCCTGCTGCATCCAGGGAAGCTGGAGGCGACACCGGCACCGCAAGCAGGAGAGGCAGAGGCAGGCCGCCACGCTCATCCAGGCAGGTAGGAGGGGTGGGGCTCTTGGGCACACAGCCACGGTTCCAGGCCAGCAGATGGACCTGGATGCAGTCCCTGTCAGCTGCTGCAGACCTTGCACACTACAGGTTTCCTTTGAAATGCTGCTGCTTGAACCCCCATATACTAAAGCTGTGTCCCAGCGTCAAGACCTTGACAGCACAAGCCTATGGTACCCTGGGACTTGAATCCTGATTCACCTCACCCAGAGTGTCTCTCCAGTTTAATGGAAGCCAGGTCACACCACAAATAAGGGTGGGGTGCTCTGTAGGCAGCAGAGGCTAAAAATTTGCCTTTAATTCCCCTTTCCCAGACCTAGAGAGCAGTTTATGCCGTCTTCCTTTGCCTATATGATAAATCATTACCTGCTGAGTGTAAGAAGGTAAAACTGACCTTCAGTTTTGATTCACTAAAGGAAGAGATATAGGAACCATGTTCACAGCAGTCTTATTTTGAAAATAAAAATACTAGAATAACAACCCAAATATCTGACAGCTGTTATTATGGACCGCTCTTATGATGCAGCTAAGAAATCTTTTTTTTTTTTTTAATGTTTTTTATTTTTGAGAGAGAGACAGAGCATGAGTGGGGGAGGGG